CCAATCTAGTGTGCGGTGAGGTAGGCGGTTTTGAATATAGACGGCAGTTCTAGCTGCTTCATGCCAGAGATAGCTTGGTAGGTTTGAATCGATAGTCATCTGCCTAGCCATCTTTGAAATCAATGCGCCATAACGCTCAGCGTAGCCGTTTTGGTCAGGTTAGTAGGGCGGTGTGGTTTCTAGATAGATACCACGTGATTATGCTTCTTGATCGAAGAATTCAGATAGAGATCTCTCGTCATCTGAATAGATAGTGAGGACGCGTAGGTTGAATTAGTGTTGTACGAAATCGATCTGGTCACAGAGAGATTAGGTCGAATCGGTCTTGGTAGTTAGATCTTCTGCCAGTTAGTATTTAGTGATAGGGTCCACAGAGTGAGATAGGTAGGTCGTTCTGCCTAGGGATGGTTCGAAGTGTATAAGATCCCAATACAGAGATTCGAAAGGGCGATTGTACTGCATAGGTCGTCGAGAGATTTAACGATGCGAATTAGCCAGTTTGCATGTCTCGCAGTGGTTGATAGGCAAAGATATATCTTTGATGGTGATGCCTAATGAGTGCTCTGGTAGATGAGATAGGACGTCCTTGCTAACGTGTCCTAGTCGTCTATGCCATAGGTCGATTATCCCATCTAGGTGCTTCTTGGTGTGTGAAGATAGGGCAACCTTGCTAAATTGCTCAGTAATAGGTACAACTTGATCGTGTGAGACAGAAGTAAGAGATAAGTGAGAGGTAGATGAAATATGAGCGTGGTTGGCAGTAGGTCGGTCAGTGGTTGAATTATCCCATCGAATTAGGTAGATGCCTGATTTCGCGTTAAGCTTACAGATAGGTCTTCCGTCCTTCTCTTCTAGTAGGCAATCCTTGCCATTCAGATAGATGCCTGCGCTAGCAGCTCTCTCTGCAGAGATTAGGTTGATGTGGAATCCAGGACAATAGGCAACTTATTTCAAAGGGAAAGTGGTTCCATCAAGAGATTCTGATGGTTTGACGGACAGTTCACCATAACCAAGGATAGTGGTTTCGGTGTTTCCAACCATGACAGAGGACACAACGGGCCTATAGTTTGACAGTAGGTCCCTATTATTCGTGACATGAATTGATGCTCCGGTATCATAGCACCAGGTGTCGTTCTTCTTAGTAGGAATCCTGATTGTGCTCATCGCAACACCATCTTCCTCTCGAAAGAGAGTCTCGACCTATTGTTTTGGTATATAGGTAGAGAAAGCGTCTCTAGCAGTTGAATTAGCCGAATTAGTCGAATTGGTTGAATTAGCCGGTTGGTAACGTCGAATTGCACGTTAGTAGGCTATCTTGAATCCTCTAGATTCATCGCATCGCTTTTCAAATCGCTCTTGGACCTCTGGGTCAGGTTGCCACCCCCTAGGTCTTGCCTTAGGATTCACATAGCGACACGTCTCAAAATCGTGGTTACCAGAGTTAGGCATACCCCCACAAGGGCACTTCCTTCTTCTGGTTGATTGTGTAGGTCCTTCTTCGTCTGATTCGTCAGGTTGACGTCCTTGGTAGGTCGTATGTGCGATAGGTCGTCTTCTACCACTGCTGGTTATGGTAGGCGGTCGGTATTGATCGACGAATTAATTAACCAGTTCGGTTAGGGTAGGTCTCTTTAGACCCTATAGGATTGTATTGTACCAGAAGGTGTAGAAGCCCTAGTCACTAGGTTAGATAGTCTCTAGGAAATCGTATACTAGAGACAGAGGATCTTAGAAGTAGGCAATTACTGCTTTCTCGCCTTCCGATTGGCTAATTAGCCACTTTTGACCCCATATAGGTAGTTAAGATAATTTGGTTGGTGGAGCTTGTCGTTTTAGCTCATCCCAATCGCGTAGGATTTGACGATTCTTCGATTAGTCGGATAGGGCAAAGGTAGCACGTAGTTTCACTATAGCTTCGTGTGCTAATAGGCCATTGACGATTTAACGTCCTTCTGGTGTGAGAGAGGATCGAATACCTTACTTGAGAGATTCAATAGATCGTAGGTAGCGAAAGTAGTCTGATCTTGACGATTCGTATTCACTTAGTAGTATCTTATAGATAGCTAATTAGTCAGACGTAAGGTCGATAAGCCTGAGTGGCTGTTCAGGAAGATTAGATATGTATGTATTGGTAGGGTTTCTGATCACATCAGATATCTGTGGTTTAACTGGTTCCTGAGGCGGGGTAATCGGTGCGGATTGGTCCGGATCGGCATATTTCCACACATTATTAGCTAGTGCGTAGTCTTTGACCGCAGTGATCCATGGAACCCAGTGTGCGTGAGATTTTAGTGGGTAGTGAAGCCAGGTAGCTTATTACGTGGTTGAATCCATCGCTTCTGTGTGGGAAGTGAAGCGATAGTGAGAGTAAAGTAAAGGAAGATTGAATTGAATTAGTTAAGTGGTTAGAGCAGAGGCGTCGGGCTCATAACTATCGGACTCTAGGCGGTGACCATAAAGTCGTGGTTATACACACAAGACGATAGTGTGCATAAGGATTGGTAAATACTCAATACAGTGTCTGAATACACGGTTATGAGTCTATCGGTCGTGCGCACTTCTATAAAGGAGAAGTACCACGATTATAGAAGAGTACCACTGATCTAGAAGAGAGATCACAAAGGATGATAAACTTGATTCAATTTAACTAGGAAACATAGCAGTATTTATATCACAAGAAACATAGCAAAGGATCACATGATAAATCAACAGAATCAGAGTGTTGAGAGTCTCTTGCTTAGGTAGGCAATCATATGCGAGATCGTTGAGGATCAATCTGTTAGATCTTTATAGAAGAAGATCTATATGTAGAGAGGGGTTATATGAGTGGGTCCTTCGTCATGTGACCCTACAACATCCATATGTTGACAACTACTTAGTTATATTAGTTATTCTCCGAGCTCGGAAGTCCGGGAGGTACTATAAAAGGTACCACTCCCTTACTATTAGACCTCGCTTTGGGTCGGGTTTGGGTCTAACTTCAGGACCCGTACCCGCGGGTCGGGTTCATACCCAATACCCAAAACCTATACCCGTAGACCCGTGGGTTCTTGGCGGGTAGCCCGCGGTTACCCGCCAAGAACCCGTTTCAGCATAAATATCCTAATTAGTTCATGCCAAGGCGCACAAAACTGCTGATTAACCTCATTGAAAATACTATTATTTATATCTATTCTAGTTACCTCTGTGGTTCTAACTAACAAAACCCTCTTTTCTCTATGAAAGATTAAGAAATTAGCCGGTTTTCTTTTTAATCAATAGCAGTAATATTACATATTTTGCTTTAACGACTATATAATATTATTGTGGTTTTAAAAACTAATATAGATCAAAACTCTGTCGTTAGAAGTGCGGAAATATATTATAAACTATAGAGTGAAGTACGTATATTTTTGTAAGGATAATATAGAATTCTAATATCTCTTTAATCCTACGACTTACGAGGGATTATTTAGTCTTAAAACAATTAGCGTATATTTATTAATCTATACGTTAACTAATCGAGTGCTCTTTTATCTTATTCAGGTTATTAATTGCGAAAAAGTAGATGGATTTTACCTTAATTAAAGACTTAGAACGAAATTATTTAAGGAAAACGGGTTACCTACGGGTTACCCGCGGGTTTATAGGTTCTTGGCGGGTAACCCGCGGGTTACCTATCCTATATATAGGCTATAAGCTAATAATAATAGCTTTTATCTATCTATGTGGGCCTTTATTGATATATTATCTTTTTCACTTTAGAAGAATAGGGTATTACGAGGCCCTAGAATCTACGTCTACGCGCTAAGATTTTTTTGTAAGTCTTCTAAGTCTCTAACTATCCTTAGCTAAGTGCTCGTTAATTAGCATATTACTAGATATCTTAATTCACTAATGCCTCTATATTATCTTCGTATAATATAGACCTTCTAGATAACTTTTAACTACTCCGATCGGACGATCTGACCCCTGATCTATCGATTAGCTAATAAAACTTCCTTTTTATCGCGAGCTCTGTGGGCGATTCTGGTTTTATTCGATTAGGATTATCTTCGCCCCCGGTGCCTAGTTTCCTCGAGAGCGTTCGACCTGATCGTATCACTATATACGTAGTCTACTCTAAAATAATAAGCGACGACTATGTGTAATAGTGGCTATAAACGGACTTCGGAAGGAAGAAGCGTATGCGCTAGGACTCGCGATACTCTTCCGACGTTTAGGACTACTTTGATTAGGTAGCTAGGGCTAGTGATAGCGCGCTAAAGGTTATATATAAGCATTGTAAGGCTATCCTTGATTACCTAGGGCTTAGAAATGGAACTTTAACGATGAAGAAATATACTACTAGCTATAGTAGGAAGCTAAAAAGCTAAAATATTAGGTAATTTATGTAAGCGGTAAGCTAGCCCGTTAGTCTATAGGCTATAGGATATATACTGATTTCGACTACTTCTATAGGCGCGGAGCCCTTTAGTCGATACTCTATTTAGCTAGGAAAAATGGGAATTAAGTCTTCTTCGATTTATTACTAAATCGAGGCTACCCTTCTAGCTTCTAGAGTATCTAGGGTTCTATGATATAATATCTATAGCCTAAAATGCCCTAAGGCAGCTTGATATTCTATCTATAAAGGTAGTACGGAGCCGGCTACGAAGTACGGTGCTCGAATGCTATTAGAATATACTATAGAAGCTCCCTAAGGATAGAAAAATTTTAATTATCCTCGACTATTAGATATCTCCTTTCTAGTAGGCATTTTTGGTAGTTACGGGTTACTTCCTTAATAAAGACTAGAATTATCGGGAGCTACTTCTTAGATTTAAGCCTCTTTATAGAACACACTTAGGTATTAACCTTAGCGCTATTCTGTTCTAGCTACTACAGAAGTATAATTTAACTGATCGAGTACTTACATTCACTACCGATAATATATCGAATAATAATAATTTATTAGCGAGTATCTAAGAGACTATCTAGTCCCTTAACCTTGGCGATAATATAGAGATTATTCGCGTTCTATGTATTACCTATGTTATTTAACTAAGCTTAAAGTAACTCCTAGATTAGATAAAGGTAAATCTAATGAACGACACTACTTAAATGTAATAGACTAAATCCTAGGACTAATTAATTCGGTCTAGGTATTAGAAACGGGAGATTATTAACACTTTAAATAAGGTTCGTCACTATTAGACTTATTAAAACTTACTTCTAATCTATTTTTATAGCTTCGAAGCTTAGCTATCTTTATTAACGTAAGCCTATAGCGCCGTGAAGCTTTCTGTAGCCTCTAGATAGATTCTATAGCTCTTATTCCGATATAGGATATTCGTACGCGGTGGAATTCGACGTTTCTAATGCTTCGCCGTGCTAAACGACTATAATCCGTCTTAGATGAGTTTTGCTCGAAGTATAGCTATCCGTATCTTAAGCTTAACTAGGAGTAATAGCGTTAGATTGACTATTTGCTTTGGATTACGCGGCCGTTCTTCTAGTTCACTACTACGCTATCGAAAACTAAAGATATCACCGTCTATCTTATTTTTGCTATCTATAATAAGCTCTTCGATTATCTTAAGAAGTCGATTAAGTAGCTTATAAGTAAGAAGGTAGGCTAGAAGAAGCTTATGCTTATCGCTCTTCGTGCGGCGGAGGAAAAGCTTAGGTAGTACTATAGTAAGACGGATAATATTCCTAGTGATATCTTTGCTATTGGTATAATACTCGCACTATAATATAAGCTCTAGTTCTTCCGGAGTAAAGATTAGGGCCCTAAGTGGCTTACTAGATATCGATAAAGCTTTATGGACTACTTTGAACTATATAAGTAACGTCTATTAGAAGAATAGACAGGGAACGGTAAAAGATCTACTACGTAGAGTGTAGGTATAGATCTTGATCGGATGATTAGCCTAGATCAGATTATCTAGGCTAGTGTTACGCGTTGCCGACCGGTCACTGTGAGTTAGAATGTTCACGGGTTATGCTTGCCTAATTCCAACTGCGGATTCCAAGAGTATCTCTCAATCGTACCGTTGCCTCGCGAGGCCTTACTGCGGGATGGATCCTGTTGAGTATCTTGCAGAACGTGCCAGAAGTGCGCGCCAAGTAAGTCAATCACTAAGTGTTACCACTGAGTGAATCCCCTACTTGTAGGTTGGGTTGTCTTGAAGGTGAACTGTGAAGTGCAAAGTACTAAAGGTAGTAACCGAGTAACAATGTAGGAAAGGTGCTGTCCTAGTAACTTGAATGATTGATCGCGAAGAACTAAATACATGATGCGAAATGAGTGTCCTTATATATCTAGCCCTTCCTACTCCCGACCTACTCCCTGGGAGTAGATCTGGAGTCACCGTATACCCCATCGCCTACTCCTTGGAGTCACGCTGGGAGTATATCCTTGGCGTCACGTGTGGTTTTACCGGGTCCTTGCACTTGTGGTGTAATCTGGGTGTTGGTAAAATGGTGGCCGTTTCCTGCGTCGCGCTAACCGTCTCATGGAGTAAGCGGGTATTGGTTGTGACGGTTAGCCGTAGGCCGTTTCTGGCTTCCGCCCAGAGTGTCTGCCTTGGGGCCCTGCCGGGGCTCGCCCAAGTATACCGAAACGCACGTGACAACGCTAATCCTTAGCGTCCGTGGGATGATTGGCCCTCCGTTGTCCTCAAATAACTGCGGCCCCCGCGCCTCTTGAGGTCCGTAACATCATCCCCTCCTTCCTTGTCCTTTGTCCTCAAAGGATTTAAACGTTGGCCTCTCCCCCTCAGGTAAGTGCATGTTTTTCTTCTTTTTCTGATTTCCCCATCGGCCATGTCCCCCTTGCAACATGCCTGTTGATAACAAGACTCGCAAACAAAATAGGCTCATCCAATACCAGTCCATTCTGACCAACGGGTCCGTTTCCGAGTCGCCTTGCGAACATTGTCTTTCCCGTGGTGTTGATTGTGTGATGGACTCGAAGCACCGTAATTGTGCCGAATGCACCCGTCGCGGTCGCAAATGTGCGAAGAAGTTCCACAGCGAGTCCGAATGGCAGAAGGTGCTTCGTGAACAGAAGAAAGTTGATGATGAGCTCGCTCAAGCCGAGCAACAACAGATGGAAATAATGATGAAAATTATTCGTCTCCGCAAGCAACGACAATTCTTGCGAACTCGTAATGATCGGATGTTGAGTCACGATGCCGAGATAATGGAGCAGTTGGATGCTGAGGATCCTCTCAGTGCTGAGGATCTTGCGGAGCTGGATCGTCTCGCCGATGCCGAGGATGCTCGCGCTCTTGCCGCCACGTCAGAGAATCCTACTCTGACCCAGATGCTGGAGATGAATCCGATGTCGCCGTCTTTCTGGGGCGACCTGGGCCTCTCCGTGGGTGGCGTTGGTGGAACTGCCGAACCAGCCGGTGGCAGCCCATCAGGTTCTCGATAGGTTCCCAAGTGTTCTCCGTTGTATCGTATCCTTTCCATTTCACCAGGTAGTGAGGCTTTCCGCTGACCTTGTTCATGTTCAGGATTTGTTCGACCTCATATTCGTTTTCTGTTTCTTCTTCTACTTCCACATTGGTAGCGATTTCGGCGTTTTTGGGTGCTTTTTCCAATAATGAGACATGAAAGGTTGCATGGATGCGTCGCATGCCGTTAGGTAGCTTTAGACGATAATTGAGCGGTCCTATTTTTTCCGCGATTTCAAATGGTCCCAATTTGAGGTGGTCGAGTTTCGCGCTGGGTCGTCTGGTGCGAATGTTGCGTCGCAAGAGGTAAACTTTCTCCCCCCTTTGAAAGTCCGGCGCCTCCTGGCGCGATTGGTCGTAGTAGAATTTCATGCGCATGTTGAGAAACTCGATGTCCCTTGACAGTTGTAGATGAAGCTGTTTCAAGCCAGTCGCCAATAGTCGAGATGACTCCGCGAGTGGTTGTTTTCCGATTGGTTCTCCGATAATAGTGGGATTAAGCCCATAATTTGCGAAGAAAGGCGTTTCTTTCGTGGTTGCATGCATTGCATTGTTGTATGCGAACTGCGCCATTGGTAGTAATCCTGCCCAGTCGTCTTGCTGGAAGTTCACGTAGTGTCGAAGGTATTGTTCTAAGGTCTGGTTGACCCGTTCCGTTTGTCCATTGGTTTGCGGATGGTACGCGGTAGAGAGTCTATGCTCGATGCCAAGTTGATCCGCCAGTGACTGCCACATGTTGGATGTGAACAGCTTGTCCCTATCCGAGGTAATCTTGCTCGGTGTTCCATGATTGGTGAATACATATCTGAGTAGTAGGTTGGCCATCTGTCGTGCATCGATGGTTTCCGTTGTCGGTATCATGTATGCATATTTGGTTAGTCGGTCGACGACTACCATAATCATGTCGTTACCCTCCGAAATGGGTAGCTTCGTGATGAAGTCCATGGTAATCCATTCCCATGGTTGTTTCGGTGTTTCCGCCAATTTCAGTTCTCCGTATGGTGCGTGTCGCGATGATTTGTTCCGTTGACATGAATCGCATTGTTGAATGTACTTTTTGACTTTTCTGTGTAACGCTGGGATGTAATAATTTCGTGTAATTTTCTCGATGGTCTTCTCAATTCCGTGGTGTCCTTGTGTTGTTTCGTCGTGGTGCAATTTGATGATTTCGTTTTGAAGGTTCCCAGGAACGTACACTAGACTGTGGATGTAGACTAAGCCGTCCCTGGTTAGTGCAGTGCTGTTGCCTAGGATCTTCTGTATGGATTCGTCATTGGTGGTTGCTTCTCGAATCCTGTCGATCCATTCGTCGTTTTGCAATTCGCTGGTTGCTGCGAGTGTTTGATGGTTGTAAACGATGTTTCCTTCCTGATCCGTGGTTAGGATCGCGGGTACTGCCTCCTTGGTTCCAAGTTCGTAGTCCGGTCGTCGACTTAGCGCGTCCGCTACTGCGTTCTCAGTCCCCTTGCAGTGTACGATCTTGAAATCGTATTCGGCCAGTGTTTCTGCGTATCTGGCTTGTCGTCGAGTGAGTTTCTTTGTTGTGGTGAAGTATGTCAAGTTGTGGTGGTCCGTCCTGACCGTCACAGTATGTTTTGCTCCTTCCAAGTATGCCCTCCATGTTTGGAATGCCGACACTATAGCCAGTAGTTCCTTGTCGTGGACATCGTAGTTGAGCTCTGCTGGGATCATCTTGCGGGACCAGAAAGCGACAGGTCTGAGCTTGCCGTCCTTTCCTGGTTGCATGAGTTGTGCTCCGAGCGCGAAGTCTGATGCGTCGGTTTCGATGATGATCGGTGAGTCGTAGTTGAATGTCGCAACAATTGCCTGTCCGGCTGGTTTGTTGTACATTCCTTTGAGTGCGGTGAACGACTTTTCCGCCTCGTCGTCCCATTTGAACGGTATTCCCTTTTTGGTGAATCGGTAGAGTCCGGCCGCATACTTCGAGTACTGCGGTATCAATTTCCGATAGTAGTTGGCAAGTCCAAGAAAGCTCTGTACGTCTTTGACGCACGTTGGTGTTGGCCATTCGAGGATGCTTCTGACCTTGTCTTCTTCCATCCCTAATCCGTCGGGACTAATGGTGTATCCGAGAAAACTGGTGTTCCGGACGTGGAATTCACATTTCTTGAGCTTGAGCGTGACCTTTGCCTCCCTTAACCGTTGTAGCACCATCTTGTTGTGCTGGATGTGTTCTTCCTCGGTTTTCGAGAATACGAGGATGTCATCAAGGTACGCGATGACGAACTTGTCGAGGTATCCGTTCAAAACGTGAAAGATGAATCGTTGAAACGATGCTGGTGCGTTGGTGAGTCCGAATGGCATGACCTTGTATTCGAAGTGTCCGAATTTGGTCCTGAATGCCGTTTTCCATTCGTCCCCTTCCTTGATCCTAAGTCGGTTGTAGGCGTTGGTAATGTCGTATTTGCTGAAGTATTTCGCTCCCTGAATGATGTCTTGGATTTCGTTGATTAACGGTAGTGGATGCCGGTCCTTGAGGGTAATGTCGTTGAGTTGTCGGTAGTCAACGCACATTCTGAGTTCTCCTCCCTTCTTGGGTACAAACAGGATTGGGTATCCTGCTGACGATTTCGAGTGTTGAATGTTCCCCTTCTTGAGGTTGTCCTCAATATATTCCTTCAGTGTCGCTGACTCCTTCTGCGACAGTGGGTAAATCGGCATGAACTTTGGTTCTTGGCCGTCCTTGATCTTGATCTCATGGTCAAACGGACCATGCTCTGGTAGCTCACCGTCTGGTGGTGGCGTAAACACATCCTGGAATTCCATGTATTCCTCAGGAATCTTGTGCTCTTCCTCTGGTGATCCTGTTGCACAGAGGGTCGTTGCGTCGTCTTGGACGAGAACATATTCACTTAGTTCCTCGTCTGTCATGTCTGGTCGTTGTTCCGTGGTGGCGATGTCTCTGATGTCGCTTGTTCGTTTGTTGGGCCTGCCTCCTGGCCGAAAACTCCCCTTAAGTTCTCCTTCGTGAGGGTTCTCATGAGTTCCTGCTTCCCCCGAGCTAGGTCTCTTCAGCGTCATGGGTTCATTTCTCCCGGTCCACACCTGCGTAGTCTGTCGACACGAGCATCTGTCGAAGACGATATTTCCTACTCGCCAGTCGATGGCTGGGTTATGTTTCCTCAACCAAGGTACTCCAAGCACCACATCATATTCTCCGAGGTGTGTGACGTCGAAGTTGATGATCTCGAAGTGGTCTCCAATGACCATTGGCAGTGGTCCGCTTTCGTGCGTGATCCCTGGTCCTAGGCTTTCTCCGTTTAGACCGATGATTGGTGTTGGCCGTGGCTTCTCCACGCCTTGGATCTTGTACTTCTGTTTGTACAATGGGCTCATGAAGTTTCCTGCAGCTCCTGAATCGATCATCACTCTAGTTGGTCGAAGCATGATGTTGGCAGTAACTTTCACATGTGCTCCCCACGCAGTTGCTGCAAGGTGTTGTTCGTTGTTTATCCTCCGGTCTCCGTGCCAGAGTCCCGCGTATTCTGGGCTCCAATTAGGTTTCTTTTCCCATCGTAGCGGCTTGGGTTCCAGGCTTCTGTCGATCTTTCCTTGATAGTGTGTCATGCAGTCATTGTCGTAACATCCGGTCGTAGATCTCAGTCGGTGATCCGGGTGTCGAGCGTATCCTTGGCACGAACACTGAGTCTGCCAACATGGGCAAAACCCATCCTCAATTTCAGGTTTCAGTTTGTGTAGTTCGTATAGTTGGTTGGTGAGTTCGAGTGTTCGGTCGATCTTGTTGCCGATGTCTCCCTCATGATTCCTGAATAAGCCGTGGAGTTCATTCTGTATGCGGTTGATGTCTGCAATCACTTCCGCCTTCTGGGGTTTCTTCTGAGGCTGTACAGTAGTATCCGTTTCTGGGAGCTGGGGTGGAGTTTCTGGGATCTCCGGGGTTCCTGGTGTCTCGATTGGTGTCTTCAGGATCCCTACGCCCCACTCCTGGGAATCGTCGGATAGTTCCTGGGAGTCGGTGGTGTTCCAGGGACCGTACTGGGTCCACCCTTGACTCTCAATATTTTCCCAATCAATCTCGGGAAACTCCGTCGCGTGCTCTGCGCTGTTCAGGCCGCGGTATTCGTCGTTGCTTTCGAAGGTGTCCGTGGTTTTTCCCTTCGATCGTTGCCGTAGCTCATCGATTTGCTCTGGACTCAAAGTTGTCCATTTGGCCAATAGTTTGTCGACTTCGTCTTGGATTGGTTGTTTGACCTTGGGTCCTTTCCTAACCAGTGGCTTCTCGGTAGCCCACTTGGTGACCTGGTCCTTCAGGTGCTCATACTCATCTGGAGTAGCCTTGGTAATGGCTTCCTTCAGGCGCTCCGCTCCGTCGTGAGTGGCCCTGAGTTGTTGGGGTCGTACCTCGTCTTGAGTTGCCCGTAGCTGTTGTGGTTTTGCGTTGTTGCGTCCGTTACGCTCACGCGCCCATGGCTTTGCGTTGTTGCGCCGATTGTGGCACTCACGCGCCCGATGTCCTGCTTTTCCACATTCAAAGCATAAGTTGTTATCTTTTCGTCGTTTTTCTTCTTCGGTTGGGAGCCTCGCTGCGTCGAGCTCCATTGGTCGTGGTCCATAGGGATCGCTGTCCCTACTAGGTCTGTTTGGTCGTTTGTCGTAGCGATGGTGTGATGGCCGGCCAGTGCCTCGGCGCCATCCTTCAATTTCTCTTTTCTCCATTTGTCGGTCATACAGACGGTTGTCAATCCGTACCGCTGTGTCGATGAGTTTTTCCATGGTATCGGGTCGGTCGATTCGTGCGAGTTCATCTTTGATGTGCGGCTTGAGTCCGTGGTCGTAGTACGGGATCAAAGCGTAGTCTTCCCATTGCAATATCGCTGCAAGTTGCATGAATTCGGCCGTGTAGGTTGATGCTGATCCGGTCTGTCGGATGCGCTTCAGCTTTCGCTCAGCTGTTTTCTTGGCGTCAATGTCACCGAAAGTTCGTTCCAGGTGTTGTCTGAACGTGGTGTAGCTAGTGAAGATAGCTTGAGTGGTGGTAGACCATTCGGTGTTGACTTTTTCGTAGTACTCCCTGATGTAGGGTTCAAGCCAATCCCACGCCTGTCCTCTGAGGTAGGCTGACACGAAGATGACTTTACTTCCTTCGGTAATGAGGCGTCCCTTGTTGACGTCGATATGGATGTCCATCTGAGTAAGGAACCCTCGTAGCTTGCTTCGTGTACCGTCAAAGGTCTCAGCCTTTGGAAGCTTCGGTGCTCCGATAGCAGTCGCTGGTGCAGAAGCGACGACCTGTGCATGGAGTTGCTCCATGTGGTCCTTCACGCTTGCTGCATGTTCATTGTAGTTGCCTCCCAGGGTGTTCAGGTTGCTTTCAAGTCTTTTGATGGTTTCCTGAAGTGCCTGGATCTTTCTCTCCTGCTCGTCCTCCCAGTCGTCCTCTCGCGCCGCTGGAGGGCGAGGAGTCTTTCCTCGTGGGATGCTGTCGTTGCCTGCCATGATGACTTTGCTTCACGGTTCAAAGACAGGGCGATCAATGTGTTACGCGTTGCCGACCGGTCACTGTGAGTTAGAATGTTCACGGGTTATGCTTGCCTAATTCCAACTGCGGATTCCAAGAGTATCTCTCAATCGTACCGTTGCCTCGCGAGGCCTTACTGCGGGATGGATCCTGTTGAGTATCTTGCAGAACGTGCCAGAAGTGCGCGCCAAGTAAGTCAATCACTAAGTGTTACCACTGAGTGAATCCCCTACTTGTAGGTTGGGTTGTCTTGAAGGTGAACTGTGAAGTGCAAAGTACTAAAGGTAGTAACCGAGTAACAATGTAGGAAAGGTGCTGTCCTAGTAACTTGAATGATTGATCGCGAAGAACTAAATACATGATGCGAAATGAGTGTCCTTATATATCTAGCCCTTCCTACTCCCGACCTACTCCCTGGGAGTAGATCTGGAGTCACCGTATACCCCATCGCCTACTCCTTGGAGTCACGCTGGGAGTATATCCTTGGCGTCACGTGTGGTTTTACCGGGTCCTTGCACTTGTGGTGTAATCTGGGTGTTGGTAAAATGGTGGCCGTTTCCTGCGTCGCGCTAACCGTCTCATGGAGTAAGCGGGTATTGGTTGTGACGGTTAGCCGTAGGCCGTTTCTGGCTTCCGCCCAGAGTGTCTGCCTTGGGGCCCTGCCGGGGCTCGCCCAAGTATACCGAAACGCACGTGACAACGCTAATCCTTAGCGTCCGTGGGATGATTGGCCCTCCGTTGTCCTCAAATAACTGCGGCCCCCGCGCCTCTTGAGGTCCGTAACAGCTAGCTAGTAGGACGAGCTTATAAGATATCTCGATAGTAGTAAGTATCCTTATTCTATTAATCACCGGACCTATACTAATAAATATATCTTAGCTATCGTTTCTAGTATTCTAATACAGGCGTTCTGGAAGGAGAACTAGACTATATTCCCTACGCTTATAAAGCTCGCACGCGATATACTCTCGATTCCTATAACTAGCGCCGGCGTTAAGCGGCTATTTAACACTACTCGGGATGTTTATTACTATCGTCGAGGCTCACTGAATGCTATAATAATTTAGGAGCTTATGTTATATAGGTATACGACGTAATTTGAAGTCGAAGAGGATAGAATTGCTTTTCGGAAGGAGTATCTTTCTGAAGGGGAGATAGAAGCGGATTATAAAGAGAAAGATACCTAATAACTCGAGGGTACCGTCGACCTAATTAGTGACGATAAGGAGAGTGATAAGGACGATGTATAGGAGGGTTTGGTCCTTATTTAAGCGTAATTAGTAACGTAAGGTCCCTCGAAACGTGCTCTTAGAAAGAGAAGAAAGAGTACTATATCTGAACGAGACACTAAAGGCCATAGAGATAGTAACGAGGAGGAAGATATTCCTCTACCGGAGACATAATAGCGTGTCTTAGGAAGATCTAGGAAGCGTTCGCGGCATAATAATAATCAGTTTATAGTTTATTAGTTTAGTTCTAGAATTAAAGACATTCATAGTTATCCTCGACCTTATTTCTGCAAGAATCCACTGCCTGTAAGCTAGATACCTATAAATACAGCCCAGAAATGTATAATATATACATATTAAGAGGTTCTTTATGTTTGCATTATTTATCAACCCGTGGGTAACCCCCGGGTAACCCACGGATTCAATATCTCAACCCGTACCCGACCTTCGGTTCTATACCCTCGACCCAAAACCCGCCAAGAAACGGGTACGGGTCGGGTCCAACCCGTCTACCCGCGGGTTTAGGCGAGGTCTATTCACCAGGTTACTACTATTTAAGATAGCGCCCCTAAGGTTATATGCAAAACATACGATCATACTTTGAATCATCCAGCGGACGGCCATCGTGGAATATCCTCCATGAATAAACACTACTCATAAGGTGTTAACTATCGGAAGTTAGCGCTAAAGTCAAAGGATATTCGAAGGCTTATCCAAAATAGGGTATATAAGAGGATTTATCTAATTATTTAGATTTATGCTAAAATCTCTTTATCCTAGGCACCATTAGTATCGCAAAAAACGTCCTTTAGCCATTAAGCCTAGCTTAAGAGGTTAATAGTATTTCTGGCTAGCCTATAGCTACCATTTTAACTCGTTAAACACCCTTAATTTCGCGCTCTAGTTAAAATAATCCGGCTCGCCCTATCTATGCCAGAAATCCCCTCCTCGTATACCGTCCGCCGCCGGCTTCATGAGTTAGTCGAGGAACGACAGTAGAGTCTTCTTTATAAGCTCCCTATAGGTAGTAAGCTCTCTATCGTATTAGATTGCTAGACCTCCCCCTTTCGCTAGGCCTTTATGGCTGTTACCGGCTATTTCATCGACTAGGACTAGAACTACCGCGAGATCTTACTTAGCTTTAAACCACTTCACGGGATATATACTAGCGGTAATCTTAGTGTAGTTCTCTTTTAACCACTTCAAAAGTATCAGATTGAAGACAGGGTGTTAACCGTTACCACTAATAACGCGTCTAATAACTCTACGCTACTAGAGAGTGTCTAGGATTCTCTCTAGGGCCTTAAGCTACCGAACCAGATACCAATTCTCCGTATACTATATATCGCACATATTATTTAACTCAGTCTGAAGGAGCTACTTAGTCAGATAGAAGCTAATCCAAAGAATGATAGGGAAGAGATGGAATTTACCGGGGAGACGGATAGCTCTTAGTGGGAGAATCAAGAGATTATCCACACATTAAATAAGGTAAGATATTAGATATTATCTCTAATTTTACCCTTTTTACTACCCTACTAATAGTGTACTAGATTCGAAAGCTAGCTATCTATATTAACAAAAGCCTATAGCGCCGCGAGCGTTTCCTAGAGCTCCAGACAAAAGAGCCGAAGCTCGTGCTAATATAAGACGTCCGAACTCGCTAGAATTCAACGTTTCTAATACTTCGGCGTGCGAAACGGCTATAGTTAACCTTCGACGAGTTTTGCCGGGAGTATAACCAGCTCTATATTTAGCTTAGCTAGGAGGAATAGCGCTAGGTTAACTATCTTCTTTCGATCACTTAGCCATTCTTTATCTTCACTAATGTGGTATCAAAGAGCAAGGATATCACTATCCACACAGTCTTCGGTATCTACAACGCCCTCTTTAACTATATAGAGAAGTCGAAGGCATAGCTTACGCGAAAGAAGGTCAACTAGAAAACTATGATACTTAAAGCCCTCTTATATACGAAGGATAAGCTCTCAGAGTATTATAGCGTAACTAATATAATTAGCGACGATCTCTATATAATTAGTACTATCATGGCGCCTCAGAATAAGCTTAAATTCTTCTAAACATCCGAATAGGAGCCTAAGTAGTATATCCGATACCGCAAGAGTCTCGAAAAGTACGTTATCCCGTACGAGAAACGATATTCGGATACACGGCTAAGCTCCTATAGTATATCCTCGGTAGCGTAGGTCTCAGACCTAGAGATACTTATCTCAAAGGCCATAGCTATTCAGCCCTAAACGAACGCTCATAACGAGCTTAGACGTTATCTTAGAAGTGGTAAGTTAATATTCTATCTCTTAACTCTTAGATACTAACCTTTCTAATAGGTACTCGCTTAGTTAATCCACGTATATTCTAGAGGGACCACCAGGATAAATTTCCTATCCTTACAAGCCTAGCGCGAGATGCTCTTTCTATTCCTACGACTAGTTCTAGGGTTAAACGGCTATTCAATTCTGCTCGTGATATCTATCACTACCGCCGAGGTTCGTTAAAGCCAAAAACAATTAAGGACCTAATAATATTAATGTGTATAACACGGTTTAATATTAAGTCAGAGTAGGTGACCTTAATTGAAGAGTATCTCTCTACATAAGAGATTTATACAGCAAGAGAAGAGAAGGATACTCAGAAGGAGAAGGACGAATTTAATCTTATTAGTGACGGCGAAGATAATCCTCTAGATACGAGATCTCAGCATTTATAGCGACCCAGCGAGCGTGCCCTTAGTAAAAGGCCAAGGAAGGAAGTAACACCGCCTCCTACTAATCAGGGGACACTAATTTAACTAGATAACGAGGATAATAAGGATAATAAGAATAGTATCCCTCTTCCTAATAATAGTAGCCTACTTAGAGAGAGTAGTAGTACTCACAGGCGTACATCTAGGAGAGTTTCAAAGCGTACAAGACGAGACGAAGACCTCTTTGTATATCAAAAACCATAGAACTAATAGTAACTAAATCTAAAAACCTCTTTAACTAATTCTTTACTTTTCTTCACTTCTGACTAGTATATCCTATCTTGACTAGATATGTCAGCAGAATACTCAAAAAATACAGGCAAAACTGCATAAATTATGCATATCACGGGTTTCTCTAGGTTTGCACCGTTTGTGGAACCTGAGGTTCGAATCGAACCTCCCAGGTTCGACTCCAAAAATCTTGGAGTCGAATCGCGGTTCCGAAAACCTAGAACCGGAACCTAAGTCTTGGCGGTTCCGAGTCGAATCGAACCTGGAGAGTCGCGATTCCTGCCGTGGTCTACTAGCGACGACCCTCGACGGACTCGTTAAGGCATAGCCACGGGTATTCGAGAGGGCTATAAAGCCGGGGATACAGGCTTAGTTAGTGAAGGATAGCGAGATTATCCTGCTAGGCTAATAGGGATACTACTAGTAGCCTTTACGAGACACGGTCGGCTAGTAGAGAGAGATCTCGGCTAGTAACGCGAAGTAGGGAGATTTCTCCTTATAGGGCGTGGTACATAATAGCAGTGACGGACGAGTCGAGAGGACCCGACGAGACTGTCTATATAGCCCGAGAGGACAGACGCGCGTGTCGGTGTGCAAATAGACAGAAATAGCTACCTCACTCGCACTAAGGACCTAAAATTAACTAGCTAAAGTAGTATCGTCCTAGTGGGGTAGGTCCGACCTAACTTACTATCTCACTCGCACTAAGAACCTACGGCCGGGCGATAGATATAATATCGTTCTAGCTAAAATGCTAATAATACATACTTAAGGAGCAAACCTAGAGACACCTAGGGTGAGAGGTTTTTGGCGGGGCCTCAATATCTGGAGGGCGTCCATCAAAGGATACGCGTACCGAAAACCAGGGCAGTGGCCTGAACAAGCGGGCCTGGTAAAGCTGCTTTACATCAGTTCCAAGAACTCGTTAAGGCTTAGCCACAGGCAATCTTGGCTGTGTAGTTATGTCTCTTGGCCAATTTCACTCCTCGCGACGCTGGGCAAGATATTGGAGTCAGTGGTTGCGGAAAGGATAGCACACGCGGTGGAGACGTACGGCTTACTCCCGACCAGCCACTTCGGAGCTCGAAAACAGCGGTCTGCGGAGCAAGCACTTATGTTTCTACAAGAGCGAATCTACACGGCGTGGCACGGCCGACGGGTATTGAGCTTGATCAGCTTCGATGTCAAAGGAGCCTACAATGGAGTGTGCAAAGAACGATTGCTTCAAAGGATGAAAGCGCGAGGCATACCGGAGGACCTGCTCCGGTAGGTTGAGGCTTTCTGCTCGGAAAGGACGGCGACCATTTAAATTAATAGGCAATTATCTAAGGTCCGAAGCCTGCCCCAGGCTGCGCTGCCGCAGGGCTCGCCGCTATCCCCGATTTTGTTCCTCTTCTTCAACGCAGACCTCGTTCAACGACAGATCAACAGCCAAGGAGGAGCAATCGCGTTCGTGGACGATTTTACCGCGTAGGTAACCGGACCAACGGCGCAGAGCAATCGGGAAGGTATTAAAGCAATTATCGCTCAAGCGCTCGACTAGGAGGAAAGGAGTGGAGCGACTTTCGAGGCAGACAAAACAGCTATTATACACTTCGCTCCGAAAGTTCACAAAACAGACCAGGAGCCTTTCACAATCAAGGGACAGATCGTTATGCCTAGAGATTATATCAAGATCCTAGGCGTTCTCATAGACACAAGGCTCAAGTATAAGGAATATATCGCGAGGGCGGCATCTAAAGGACTAGAGGCAGCGATAGAGCTTCGGTGACTTCGCGGCCTAACACTAGCAACCGTAAGACAGCTATTCACATCGATAGTGGCTCCAGTGGTAGACTATGCTTCTAGTGTCTAGATACACGCCTATAAGGACAAGGCTAGCGGGCCGATTAATCGAGTCTAAAGGGTAGGAGCGTAAGTAATTGTCGGGATATTTCGCACCGTTACGACTAGCGTAGCGGAGGCCGAGGCTTATATTACCACCGTATAACACCGTTTTTGGAGACGGGCCGTGAAAATGTAGACGGATATTTATACCCTTCCAGAAACCCACCCGCTCCGTAGGAGTATAGCCTATATAAAGAAGTTCAGGAGATACCACCGTTCGCCGCTATACTAGTTAGCGGACGCGCTAAACAATATTGAGATAGAAGCTCTAGAAACTATCAATCCGTTCGTGTTAGCACCGTGGGAGACTCGTATACAGAGCGACGTTAAAGGAATACCGTACTCGTATACCGTACCGGGCGGATTATTATAAGTAGCGGTTAGTAGTTCCGCACGAAACGGCCTCGTAGGTTTTAGGGTAGCGATCAAGAAATAGCCACCTCGATATCGAAAGCTAAAACTGAAGACCTTCTCCACGACACTAGGAACAAGATTAGAGCAAAACTCATTCTCCGCGGAGCTAGCAGCACTAGCACACACATTAAATATCCTAGTGGGACTAAAAGACTACAGGATCACGCTACTCACGAGTAATAAAGTAGCGGCTCTCACGATGAGGAATCCTCGGTAACAGTCGGGCCAGGAATTCGTCTACTAATCGTACAAGCTAATGAAAAGGCTACGGAGAAACGGAAACCACGTTAATATCCTCTAGGTCCCTACTAGCGCGGAGAATAAACTGCTAGGTCTGGCTAAAGCGTAAGCTAGGACCGCGACCTAGAAGGATGCCGCCCTACAAAAATCTGGCGCTAGGATGAAGTCGACAACACTGAAGATCGCTCGGTCTTAAGCAGCTCCTAGCAATAACTTACCGGGAAACGTAGGAAGACACGTGAAACGAGTAGATGTAGCACTACCAGGGAAACACACTCGATAGCTATATAATCGATTATCGTGGAAAGAAGCGAGCGTGCTGGCCTAACTCCGGACTGGCATGGCCAGACTTAATAGCTATCTCTGTCGGATTAACGTTGCAGACTCGGACTAGTGTGTATGTGGATAAGCAAGAGAGACCGTGGAACACTTCCTCTTTCGATGCCGGAAATGGACCACACAACGAATAGTATTGCTACAGACTAGTCAAACTCACCGGGGTAATCTCTCCTTCCTAGGCGGGAAATCGCCTTCGGACAATCAGCGATGGATGCCGAACTTGGAAGCGGTGCGAGCCTCAATACGATTCGCGATCGCCACGGGCGACTCGACGCCACTTAACCACGCCGACCAACACAATGACATCCTCCTCACCAACCTACTACTACCACCTTGTGCCAGAAATGGTGGACGCGCTTTAACTGCCGAAGATAGGATGTTGAACACTTGAAGAAGCGCCTTCAAGCCAGTCTACTAACCAACTTGCTAACCCACAAGGATCCCTTTGATATTGACAGCTCAGAGGACACATGCTGCAAGGATCCATGTATGGGCTCGAAGGAGACACGGCAGATGTATATTAGGACGTGTATCGATAGATTAGTTTTAGTTGCCCTTTCGGCTCAGCCGCCGGGCGTTAATGAATTGTGTGTGTGTGTGTGTGTGTGTGTACCTACATCTTCCTCACATCTCCAAGCTCCCAGTTTATTATTCATTTGGGCGGATTTGTATTAGTCTCGTTCACTCTACTTACACTATTTCATGGAAATTTTAAAAAGCTCCTTGTTCGTAGAGCTATACTAGAGAAGCACCTGTCTTACGCTGGCCCGAGAGTATCCGAATTGCGACGAGTCATTTTTTCGCTATAGTTAATCCAATTAATTTTTTGCTATCCAACTGCATACTTCTCAAGGCCTAGCCCATCCACATTATCATATTGCATGACTCTCTCTGGTTTTATCGAGCTGTCTCGGCAATTGAGATGATGCCATTGCCAAATATGTAGTGTTCTGCCGGCGAATCAGGCAGAAACCCAAAAAAAGCCAAATAGTGATGACGCACACCTGGTATCGCGGGGCTTGAAAAAAGTATATCAGAGCCATATCCTATAATCAATTGTCGAGTTAAATTATCAATGGCCACCAGGCTCAATGGAGCGGCAAGTATACAATGAAAATCTTGCGTGCCTACTGACACTTCATAGTTCTTGATCCCCCTCACCTTCTCCAAGCACCATGTCGAAGCTAGGCCAGTCTTATCGCGGCCCAAAGCATATACAAGCATGGCTGATTGGCGGTGGTATTGCGTAAATATCAGCAGCCGTACATCTGATTAGTGAAGCCCAAGTTTCTGGCTCAAACATTCATCATTTAGACCTACATCCGAGTTTGGGGGGAGGAATGACCCCGGGTGGTAATGCACAGGACGGCTACTTCCTTCCATTTGAATACCATGCGTATTTTCACGGCAGTTCACTAGAAAGACTTTTGTCTTTTGTTCCAAGCAAAACAGAGATTAGGGGAACTTTGAGGGCTGAGATTCGACGATTTGAGAATACCGAACGGCCTCAGCCGCAGCAAGCTGCCCTTGTTCGAGCACTGAAGCATGGACCTTCTGGATTGGAGTTGGTCGAATAAAAAAGCCTCCATATCGGGGCCAAGAATCGACTTGCTTTAGTGAAGCTCATGCTGGAGCGCGAAGCTACAATTGGTTCAAAGACTGTCAAAGATACTATGGATGAGTCTTTCTTCAAAACAACATTCTGGATGTTGTGGGCTACAGTACAGAGTATGTCTTGTTACCTTATTAAAGTAAAAGGTCGAAAGTTCATCTAAACAACTGCCTTGGCATAGTGCCCTCGAGTTTCGAAGACATCTTCGCAAATATCTGGAAGATATACAAGACCTCAGCAACGTCAAGACGCTAAATCGAACAGAGTCCAATTTACGTGTCCATCTTCTACCCGATTATGACTTACTTAAAAGAAGAAGATGTCCATTTCCATTTCAATACAGAGGTGACTAATATGACAGTATACCCGGTGGCAGACCCAGCCATAACAATGAACGAAATCATGAAGAACCGTATGGGATTTTGCATGGTGACGATAAAGGAAAGCCCAGGACTTGTAGAACATGGTAGAAAAATACGCACCCTAGGAACTGATGAACTCCAGTGCATGGGAGTGTTTAGTCTCCCGGTACCCCTATAGTTCCCAGAATGACCCAAGGCATATTGGTTCTATGCATCTTTTGGTACAGCTGTCAACTTTATGCTTAGTTCTTGGCGAGTAAGAATAGGCATCAGAGGTACATGGCACCCTCCTTTGCATACCCTGGGCAGGGTAAACCGTGTGAAGGACTCAAAGAAATCACCTGTCTGGTGAGCCCGCCGGCCGACGTTGAGGAACTTCCTTCTGCAGAAGTGAATTCACTTGTGTGTCAGCTGCTTCTGCAGGCTTGGTACAACCACCGGTAGTTGAGGGGTCAAATTGCTTGCTCGAAGGATAGAAGTGTGCGAAACGTTGAATTGTTTACAGTGAACATCAGATAAACATCGGTCAAACGCCTCTGTCAACGATGCCCAATGCACTTCTTGCACAGAGCAAACTCCTTGTTCAACATTGAGCATCAAGCCCTTAGTACCAACGATCTCAAGGCATGCACCGGACGATCCCCGTCATCATACCAAACTTGATCTGCCACTATGAAGTAAGCGAGTCCTTCTCAACACTCGGGTTGTTGCCTCAGGATTACGGCAATCGATCACTGTTGAGCAATGTTTCGAGCAAGAATCACGAGTTCGATATGGAACATAAATTACTGTATAAATATCTTCACTAGATTCCAATCAATACTATGATCGACATCAACTCGCATCTAACTCTCACACCCGACATCCAAGGAGAGTGCACTATCCCGACACTGACTCCTGTGAGGACGATAGCCTCATGGCCCAGGCGAATGAGCGGCTTACGTGCGAACTGCTCCGAAGCCATGGAAATAGCTTCGCATGCCTAGCCTCTCGACGTGATGTGTCTCGGCATCTCCCACGAGTATGTGACAGCTTGGATGGCAGCAAATTGCTTTCGAGAATTACAATATATCAGAACTGGGACGTGCCGGTCTCCTGCACATGATTTGCCACCAAATGGGACCATATAACCACCAGATTCTAGATCCTCCCAGGCTCCTCCTAGCCAAAGTGATATAGTATACTATACTTATATATCTCACAAGCGTACTCTGACTCGAGCTGATTCCAGCAAATGAACTGTCCAATATTCTCCTCCCCCTTGCATCCTTGGGAAATGGGTGAGTGGTTACCCCGACCCTTCAGAATGTGGAAACCCGACCACGTTAACTTCGAATATTTTTTTACATGTCTCCGTTGGCTAGGATAATGGCCCGAGACCAGAGCCTGCTTTTCTCCATTGCGACAAAACTGGTACGTTGTCGTAGAGATTTCCCCTCCTCTTCAGGAAACTTTAAATAAGGCAGGGAGTTCGCGCAGATACTGTAAGAAATTACGCTGTTTCAATTTTGAAGAGGAAATTACAGAGGATGAATGTGACTCATATCCTTAGTTCATGCGTTATACTGTATGTATATTGTAATCCCACGTCCCTGAGGAGAGGTAATCGCTGACGCAAAGTAAATTAAGATGAGCATATTTAGTTATTGTTTTGTGTTAATATCGTCTAAAATAGAGGCTAGTCCACCAGTGTCCAGCACCTTTAGCATGCTGAGCCGAGTTGAACATTACCACGTTTCAAATCAACATCCATCAAACAGGTGCTGCTTCATCCTTAGTGTAACGTTCTCATCCCTTACTATCCCTACTATCTTTAGCTAATTTATGTTGCTGCCATAGCTATATATTCATCTACCTATGTAACCCTACTACTATATGGATAGCAACTAAACTCATTTACGAAAGGAACTAACAGGAATAGCAAATGTATAATTTTGCGGAATATTCAGACTGCCAACAGACAATTAAGCTGTGCACCTTTAACTCTTGCTCTTCATATTTGATAAGAAGAGTATTAAGGCGGAAGCGTAGGCGGTATATCTTGAAAAAGAGGAGGCTCGAAAGAGGGATCCCGCAAGGAATACATACGTAGTGGGGTACTAATATTTATATAGTTGTTGTTTGGATTGTTGTGGGTGTTCCACAAAGCCCATCATGGAGCTGGCCGAAAGAGCCGCGAAACTTGCTGCATCCGAGGCCGAATATGTGTTTGTTGGACTAACCAAGTCAGGACTTGGCGGATTTCTCCTTACATCGGCAGCCCTAGTACACCCACATCCATGTACCTGAGAGACTATCGGATAATTGGTACAAGATGAATATGCAGGAAGATCAACGTAGGACCGCGCAGCAAAACAGGAGAGAATACGGATTGGACAATGCACAGCAATGACAAAGTGATGCCAATTGGCAGGTTCTTTCTCGTAAACCGTAGACATGTACATCGTTATCTGTAATAGTCAGAAACTTTCAGAGCAGCTTTTCATGCTTCTCCAGCCATGTAACATAAAACAGAGCAAGTCACTATAATCGGGCAAATGAATGGAATTACTCTGTTTTATTTGGTATGCGCTTACCATAAGCCGATGAGATATTTCGATACTTTCATATGTAGCGTCACAACGCAACTTTTGCATTTCATCCTTACCATTGATAGATTGGCAGTTAGGGATCTGCACATTCAATTCCATTTCAATTGGCCCAGCTTGACAGCCATCGCTAAGATCACCCAGCAAATTATTCCGGCTGTGATCAACAAATTCCTCTCCTGCGATAGCGGCCGCTGGATCGTTCCAAGGAATGCCACCACCGGCGGTGACTCGCGTCGAGTTCCTTGAATAATTGTTGGAACTTGCCGAATGCGCCGTCTTCTCGAAAAGTAAAAATCTTTTATGCGGCTCACCATGATGGTTAGCCCTGCCATGAAAATGTAGATTTTCCAACACCCAGACTTGGATTCGACGGCAAGAGATTTTCTCGAACGGGATTAGTTTTATGGCGATAGGTATCTGTGATCCCAGAGGGAATGATTTTCCAAGAATAGTGATATTGTAATGGAATTTATCCTTCCAATCTCTTGATATCGCAACTGGCTCAATCTGTTCTAGGCATTCCCCAAAGGGGCTCCGGATGAAGGGGATATATCGAATGCCAGACAGGTTTGACTTGAAGACTCCTAAGTGTTCAACGACTGCTTGAAGGAGCCATCTGACAGAAATTATCTCGTTTTCTATTGTTTCTGGGTTATGTGAATCGATTAGTTGTTCAAAATCGTATGTATAATCGCCGGGGGGAAAGAGTTTGTAGCTGCGGTGTAACCTCGAAACCCCACGGGCCCAGGGCTTGCCGTTACCAATCCCACAAGCATGTTTGAATTTTGCTTGTAGTGAGAAGTCGATCGCCTCTGTATCATTGTGGATAGGGTTTACTGTCGCCAATTGGGGGCTTGCAAATTTAAAATTATTTGCATTGTATTCGATATTTGACATCGAAAGTCCCTCATGTGCACCAGCAAGGAATACTGGCCAGACGTGCTTGTTGAGCTCTTCTATGTTTTGGACTTGTGCCTTCTTTGGAAGAATCCCTAGATATCAAACCAATACTTAGTGCGCTGATAGGAAACTTCAAAAAGTGGCAGCATCTATCACTTACGGTTCGGTTTCTTCTGTTGTGCGATGCCCTTGAACACGAGTTCAATTTTCTTTATTTTGACAGTCCTCGTCAATCTGAGTCGCAAACGCCCACTCAGCATGACTGATCTGGTATCAACGGGGTCAACGTGTGGCAAGTACACGACCGGTTCCGCCAGAGCCAACGCGACCGTAATTCCATGGGCACTAGTCGCGACCTCCTCGTCACGCAGGAATGAGATAGCGGATGCAGGAGTTGAACTCATCACCCATGAGTTTCTATTCGAGTCCGAGGAAGGTCTTGCACCCTCCTGAGCCATATTTCGCTCCGTAACCGATCCTATTTCGCTTGTTGTCTGTGCTAGGATATCTGTGATGTCGTCTGGTAGCGTTCAGTCTTTCGCGTATACCGGTATGTTGTAAGGGTTTGGGCAAACATCGCCAAGAGGTCGCTTGAAATATCGGTGGAGTCACCCCAGTTTCCCAAGACTACGCAGCTTCCCTGCACTGGTTTGGAGGCTCTTTTGTTTCAAGTTTGACGACAAAACATCCTGGTTCCAAAGTAAGGTGGGTCTGTGTCATCTATGAGCATTGACGAAGGCAATTAGATAATTGGGTGTCATGAATGACGTCATCGGACTGCGCATGAACTGAGGGTTAGATCTAGACCACGATAGACCGCGAGTCTCAAGCCATATGATGACTGGAAAAGCTCTTTGCAGGCATGGTGATTGTCCAAACTAACCAACCATTTCCTAAATAGTCGACAGTTACTTCCATTAACACTAGTCCATACAAAGATCAGTTGACATAGTTTAGGAGCTTTCGACGAAATCTCTCCCCAACAGGGCCGGCATACAAAATCAGGGGCTGTGGGCTGACTAAGGCACTGTTAAAGGGAGTGGTTTTATTGGGGTTGCGTCACAATGAAGCCTCACGTGATATCTACACCGACATTATGGAGGGCCTCTTCCTCCCACAACTGCCTCACGAGAGTCAGTTGCTTGCCTCTGCGGGTAGCTCGCCATCTCTCACGCAGTCAAGTCTTGATTTTGTATCTCACGTCCCTTCCCTGCGGCAACAGCACCGATAAGCCTTGACTATATTCCTCTCCACCATGACATTGAGCCAGTCCAGTAGTGTCACTCCTGCCCCGCTCGATTCCGCTTGGCCACCGGCCCACATTTGGGAAACCATGGGTGCGGCAGACCGTGCCAGTTGGCTAGGGCAGATAGAGATATAGGGCTAGGCGCCTTGAATTAGATGTAGCAGAGACCGATCTCCGCCGCAAAAGGCCTCGTGCGGACCTGCAAGATGACGATACTGTCGAAGAAAACCGTGAGCCACCCCCCGAGGTTAAGCCACTCATCGACATATTCCCGGGTGTCTCTGCTGCCCTTCTTACTCGCGTCTTCGATAGGAAGTTGAAGGCGACTGAACTCATACGCTTCAAAGAGAAGTCAGTCACCGAGCTAGATCAGGAGGACAGAGTCTTCGAAATGACCGAGTCGGGAGGCACAGTAGGCTTCAAAAAGGCAGCAGCGTCGCTTAAGGACTGGGGTCCTAACCCTCAAACATGGACGTCCTGCTTTCTTGCCTATCTAGTGGTTGTGGGATATCTCTTCGGCGAGAAACATCCTAAGGCAGTCCCTAACTTACTCATGTTTATGAGGCAGATCCTGGACTTCGCTCAGACTTATCAGTGGTCGGAAGCAGTTCTTCCACTTGCCCTTAATTTCCATCAATACATACTGGATAAAGGAGAGCTATCGACGGATACCTACCTGGTCACAGGCCTATTCCGCGAGAAATACCTCCGCCACAATCTCACCTTACCTGCGAAGTCACCAACAAACCCTCCAACACGGCCTCGTCAAGCCAGGAATACCAGATCTTCGAATAATGAGACAGAGATTTGCGATAAGTTCAATACGACAGGGTGCTCTTGGGAAGGCTGCAAGAGACGTCACGAGTGTACGGCGTGCGGCCTAAACGAGCATGGCGCCTCCTCCTGCCGCAGGAAGAAGTAGCAGGTGATAGCCCTCGAGAACTGCACTAGTGACACCGACAGCGTTGTTTTCAATCCCGTATCCCTAAGCCTCATACCGCAGAGGCAACCACCTAGGCCAAACACTGCTGTTCAATACCCCGTTTTCAACCCAGAGCTCCCAAGATTACAGTCCTCTCCGTCACCACTGTATACAAAAGGCTGGAGCAATCTTTTACGCCACTATCCAGGCGATCTCGGGTCCACTATCGCTGGCATTCTGACCTTCGGTGCCCAGGTCGGCTATAGGGGCAATACGCAGTTTCGCTATTCCTCTAACCATCACATACACGAACCTGGTCTGATCACAGCTAAACTAACAGAGGACCTCAACCTCGGTCGTGTTAGGCCAGCCTCTGGGCCCTCCTTCGTTTCACCGCTTGGGTTAGTCCCTAAGCACGATGGGGAATGGCGCCATATCCATGACCTCTCTTGGCCCCCTGGACAAGGCCTTAACCAGGGCATACCGGACTCCTGGTCAGCTATCGAATACATGACAATCGACGACGTCTACGAGCAAGTCATACAAGCTGGCCCAGGTTGCACAATCATCAAGAGGGATATCAAGGACGCCTTCCGAATTGTCCCCATTGCCGAGGATAACCAGCATCTGCTTGCCTTCCAGTGGAACAATTCCACTTACGTCGAATGCTGTCTCCCCTTTTGCCTCGCAACGGCCCCGTTTCTCTTCAACCTCTTCGCCGAGGCGCTCCATTGGATACTCCAATGCCTCTTACCTGCATTCTATATCAATCATTACCTAGACGACTTCATCGCAATTGCTCGGTCTCCTTCGGCGTCCGACCCTACGGGTCCCTTCGACAAGGTTTACAACAGGGTCACCGAGTACCTCCGTATCCCCCGCAATACAAAAAAGGACCAGCAAGGCTCATGCGTCACAGTCCTTGGTATCCAGATAGACTCTATTGCAATGGAAGCTCGCCTGCCGCCAGAAAAGTTGTGCCGCGCCACATTGGACGCCGCAGCCGCCCTGAACGTAGCGAGTCTCACCCTTAAGCAAACAGAGCGCCTCACAGGCTTATTAGCCTTCTGTTCACGAGTTGTTCGGCTAGGAAGAACAAGGCTACAGTCTCTATACACCTTCCAAGCCGCTTTCCCACATGGGAGTAGCGGGCGCCGCCGTATCCCTTACGAGGTACGTGACGATTTGGAATGGTGGAAGAACTCCTTGTCTCTCTTCAATGGCGTACTCCTAATTGACCCCTGCCGGCGCTCCATCACGCATCTCTACACAGATGCCTCAAACACAGGCCAGGGGCTCTTCTTCTTTTCATCTAAGTCTACATTAGACTGCTGGCTGGCCCATTGTCACCAGCTTCATCCAAGCAATGCTGCCACATTGGCCCTTTCTCAAGACGCACATGCGCATATCAATACCAACAAAGTAGACGCTATTCTACAGGGCTTCCTACTCTTCAGCCACCATTGGCTCCATCACACTCTCGTTATCCACACGGATAGCTCCACGGCCCACACGGAACTAAAGAAAGGCTTCCTTCATGGTCCGCCTAACGCACCTCTGAAGAGCCTACTTATCCTAGCGGCGGCGAGAGACATCCATGTCGTGCCACACTGGCTACCTTCCGGGGAAAATAAACTAGCAGATGCGCTCTCACGTAACAATCTTGAAGACATTGCTAACATTTGTCCCCATTGGCAGGACCTCTCGGTATTGAACCGCCCGCGTGGTTCTCTTCACGAGCTCCTCAGTTCAATACAGGCCACCTAAAACTACTCTGGAACGGACTCAGCGCCAACACTCGTTCCGTTTACCTCTCCGTTCAGCGCAATTACGAAAAGCACTGCGCGCTACAGAATATACCCGCATGGCCAGTTTCAAGACATTCTTTGACTTCATGGTTAAGCGCACGACTCCTTGGTAACGCCAGCCAAAAGGCCGTCAAGCCTGACACCGCACTTGCCGACCTAGCCGCTCTCCGAGCCTATCATATCGATAACTTCCTTGACGATAAACTCTTCGACAACAAGCATTTTCGGCGTCTCATAGACGGCGCGAGAAGACTTAACCCTACCACAAGAGTGCGGGTCAGAAAACCGATTTCGCGTGACACTATCACGAAACTATCCGCGGGCCTCGCCACACTCCCGTTACGGCCCTTAGAAATGCCTGCAAACCTTCTAGACGACCTGAACTTCGCAACCGCGTGCCGGGTAGCATTTGCGGGGTTTCTCCGCCTCGGAGAATTCACCTACAAGACTGAAGACCTTAGCACACGTTCTATCTTCTCAGCCACAAAATTAACGCGCTCCGACGTCAGATTCTCGTCCTCGTTAGACCACGCACAACTCACACTCAAGCGCAGTAAGACTGACCGCCGCCACGAAGGAGTGCAAATTATTCTTGCAAAGACGGGGGACGGCGCATACCCAGTTGATGCGCTTCAGAAGCTGCTACTCCTCGACCCTAGAGGGCCCGACGCCCCATTATTCTCCTTCCACAGAAGACCATTCAGTCGCAGCAACTTCCTCTCAACCTTGTCTACTAAGCTAAGAGCGCTCGGGATACGGATAGACGGCTACTCGGGTCACAGCTTTCGGAAGGGCGCGGCTCAGCATGCGCACGATAGTGGGATACTCGACGACCAGATTCAGATGCTAGGGAGGTGGACTTCGGAGGCGTTCAGGGTGTATTTTACGACGAACGCGTCAGTCCTGTACAAGCTTAATCACCAGTTCCAGATACGCTCGCCGGCTCCACTGTCTCTGCAGATTCCACCACCGTCCCCTCCACCATCCTAGTTTGGCCCGGGTCATTTGGGCCCTATCTGACGCTACGGTCTACGACCGCAGCGACAGGTGACCCGTTATGGCCAAACTACACTCTTCTTGCTCCTCTTGACTGCGTGAGGTCACCAATAAAAATGCATTATTAGATAGCTGCATAAAGATCACGAGACTACTAAAATAGGGAGGATCTTCGAAGATTATGCATTTACGGTTAAACATTGGTTAACCGCACTGTGGTTTTGGTTAACCGCAAATTTGCGGGTTTGATTGCGGTTTTCACCTTGCTAACGACAACCGCAGGTTTTTGGTTTTGGTCTTCAACCTAAGACCGCAACCAAAACCATGCCGCAGTCTACTAGGGATAGTCACTTTACTCACCGCACACCAGTCTAGTGGATTTAATTATCATGAAGCCATTTCTTAGATGAGTCTAATTCTAAAAGGGTTGATTGCAAAAGATTGAAGTTTTCTCAACTTATCGAGGGCGCGGCTCTACATTAGATATAATTCCTAGCCTAAGTCCCATATGTCAGCCTATATTGGTGTGTGGTTATGTGGTTGTTCCCTTGTGTATGTGAGTTGATGCTGGCCGTTCGGCACGGACTTGTTCTTCCCCGCAGAGAGACCCCTCTGTATACCCCTCTTCAACAGAAATATCTACCATGGCGTAATTGGCTATTTGACTAAGCATCCTGACGTCCTTCTTGGACACTCTTCAGTGAGATCCTATCAGATTCATAAGAGCTCCTTCCCTGTTTGTTCGCTGACTAAACCCCTACCAATCGTGTTTTAAACACTCGTTTATAATACTGTTTAGCCAGCCAGTTCAATCGACTTTATTGCTCTCAAGACCTTTTTCCTATTAGATAGTAGAATTCTATGAGTAGAGAGGAATCTACTATCTCGACCCCTTTGTCATATGTGGATCAGACCATGTTACACTAGGACCATGTTACACTAGGATCTGTTACATAGCCCTGGCTTCTCTGGGCTTTTGCCGTCGCGCTTGTCATTCTAGGTTGACAGGTGCCGCTGAGTGAACAACTTCAAAGCCAATCAATGAACAAGGTAACCTTAATACCATATTCCTGAGTCATAATAAATCTGCCCAGAAGCTGTCCCAGTACCCTTTATGCGCTTTCGGTTGCTTATCCAGACTCATTAGATGATACACAGCCGTCTGTGCGCTGCGGACGCTGTACTCCATGGAGAAGACGGTATCGTTGGGGAGTTCCACAAACTGGCCGATGAGGGCCATGTTCCTCACAGTGTTGAGGATTGCTTTTGGGCGGTCACCTTCGTCTCGCGTTAGGTACTGCGCCGTCGCGAGCGGCATCAAGCTAGTCACTACAGTTGAGTGCTCAAGTGTCAGACCTGGAGGGAGCTGCATCTGTTGGAGCACTTCTGTCAGAACCTCGTCTCCGCTGCAACTACTCATCGGTTTGCGGATGAAGTTGCCCTCCTCCGATGGGGATAGCGCATATCCCCATATTAGCGGGGCACTTTCTGGTTGACTGGTGAGAGATGGCTGCCGTGGCAGGTTAATACTTAGCCGCCAATTGCTGTCCTTTAAAGATACAAGCGTGCCCGTGTGAGGGGGAGCGTGCACCAGACTTTTAAAGCGTTCAAAGCATGCCCAGTCATCCAGAGCGACAAGGAAGCATTCAATAGCTGACTCGGCAATGCGGGCGCAAAAGGGCGACGGGTTTCCGAATTCTGGGTGCTTCTGCGAGAGCTGAAACCAGAGGTTCCACGAGTCGTCGAGCTTTAACTCCTCGACATTAGGAATAGGCGCAGGAGGAGACTTATTCGTGCCTATAGTCGATCCCGCAAAGATTGATCCGACTGTGATTATCAGGATATCCTGGGGACAGAAATTGATGATTTCTTCCGTGCCACTCTGCGAAATCTTAAGCCCGGAGGCCAGTGCTGGGTATGTCTCGGAATTCATCATCACATCCAGAACGTTGACATTGTGCTCGATTTCCACACCATGAGCTTGCAGATAGGATGTAATAGGAATGATTATGCCGTTGAATAGCTCATATGGCGTGGAGTCTATTGGGCCCAAGGTATGGAGGTTGGTGAAATCCTGTATGTATCGAAGATGGCGCTGAAACTCCGCGGCGTTATGCCATGGTTGAAAGGCAAACCCACTCGAGGGTTAGTTTCATGCCATATTGAGCGAAGAGTAAAACCATGAATACGTACTTAGTTGCCCATATACTCCAAAATTTACTGTGGAAGAATTCTTGATCGAAAATATCCATGATTCTTGTCTTCATTAGATTCTTCTTGCTCTCAAACATCATCTTCTTGATCCGACCGCGGTCACCCAGACAGAGCTCTAGTCGCTGTGCGTCCAGGACTTGCATATTCTGGCCGTCATTGGTTATCACTTTGGTTTGAAAATCTTCACAAAGATTACGATCATTCTCCGTTTCGATGAGTTCCTCCTGGACAGACCTCATGGGAGCGCTCAGCGACGGGATTCGGGATAGGAGTTCGTTGGTACAAACGTAGTCCCGGTTAAGTATACGTATTGGAGAAAGTTGCCCTTCTTCAGGATAAGATTCTTTGTCCAAGCCAAACCCTTTGTTGACAGGAAAGGACTCTAAGATGTGAGACTGCGATGCCGAATTCTTCAAGATATGTATCTGAGAACCTGGCACTTTCGCATCTTGGATCAAGTGGACAGCAGCAGCCAGGCATCCAATATCCGCACCCACCAGCCAAGCGTGAACACCTTCGGATTTTCGTCGGCCACCTTGGCGGCTCGGACTGCGTGGGAAGTGAATCATCCTGGTATCCTGAGTCGTCGAGGGTTTAAACGCTTGAATGCTTGATCCAGCTGGGAATGAGCGGATTATATATGTGTTTGTAAAGATGGAATCGGGGCCTAGATATAATTCGGGGTTGGGGTAGTTGTGACCAGAGAGATGGCGGCATGCACAGGCCACCCATGAGACTGGAATCGATCAGGCGACGCGGGTGACTCACAGTACCGTGGAAGGTCAAACCTTAATATGTCCGTCCATGGCCTGGTCCCGATTCTCATCAGTAGCACCTTGGTCGCATTTGATCGTCAAGATCTAGAACGTATCGAATCGGCCACCCGTGTGGCCGGCCGGAGACAACCGGATAGTTGGCCACTATAATTACCGAGCTGTCACTGGGTCTTTCTTCTTGGGTAAATCTATTTGTATGCAGTCCACACAATTCAAAATCAAAGCTATTAACCTACGATTATTCTATTAAAATGAACTTTTTAAAGGCTTTTAAGATGCTCCCTTTAGTTATCACATGGCTAGGGGTGTACAGTCACCCGCCCGCCCAACTTCATCCTACCGAACGGAGTTTCTTGCGAGAAACGATTACAACCCCGCAACGAAATTCACAAGCAACGACATCTTTGCTTCAAATGCGAGCAATTGCAAATGCCCCTGACAGATACACTCCCCAAGGCGAAGCCTGTCCTAAAGACAGACCATCTATCCGCAATGGGTCGACGTTGTCAAAGGACGAAACTGTATGGCTTGAAGAACGACGAAAAGTCACCGTGGATGCAATGATGCAGCTCCTGGGCCGACTGGACTTTGGCTCTTTTAATGGATCTTCATACATTGAAAAGAACGCTGCCAATGCATCTGGGCTCCCAAATATTGGACTTGCTGTATCTGGCGGTGGTTATCGGGCGTTGATGAATGGTGGGGGCATCCTACAGGCCTTCGACTCTCGAACTGTTAACTCCAGTCTTCCGGGCCATCTAGGAGGCGTCTTACAGTCGGCAACTTATCTGACTGGACTCAGTGGCGGCAGTTGGCTGGTAGGGAGTATGTATCTGAACAATTTTACGGATGTCACATCGCTGCGAGACAGTGCAAACGTGTGGCTGTTCCAAGATTCTATTTTTGTCGGCCCGACACAGAGTGAGGATTTTGCCGTCAGAACATCCCAATACTTTTCGCAGATACAGGATGCAGTGACTGGAAAGGCTAGCGCTGGCTATAATTCTTCCATAACAGATTACTGGTATGACAGAGCTCGTTGCTACGTCTGAACTTTGACGGTTAGTGCTAATCGGGCAGTTAGGGGTCGGGCACTCGCCTACCAACTTATCAATTCCACCGAAGGTGGTGTCGGCTATACCTGGTCATCTATTGCTCTGAGCAAGGATTTCCAGCACGGAGGTATGCCTATGCCTATTATTGTAGCGGACGGTAGAGCGCCTGGGCAGATCCTTATTCCTGATAACACGACGGTATTCGAATTCAACCCCTGGGAATTCGGATCCTTTAATCCTCCCCTAGAAGCCTTCGTGCCCTTGGAGTTTCTTGCAACAAACTTTTCTGCTGGTGTTCTTCCTACAGACTATGGGTGTGTTCGAGGCTTTGATAACGCCGGGTTTGTTATGGGAACGTCATCATCGCTCTTTAACCAAGCATTCCTGATGATCAACAACACCGAGGCACCTCAGGCATTGAAGGATTCTGTAAATCAGATCCTAATATCGATTGGAGTGGCGAACCAAGATGTCGCCGTTTACGAACCGAACCCTTTCTATCTATACGCAAATCAGTCCGTGTACTCTAGTTCTGACGTCTTAACTCTCGTGGATGGTGGCGAGGACCTTCAAAATTTACCCCTAGAGCCTCTTTTACAGCCACAGCGCAAAGTGGATGTGATTCTGGCGCTAGATTCGTCTGCCGATACGAGTACCCGGTGGCCGAATGGCACCGCTATGGTTGCCACGTATCAGCGCAGTCGGAGCTCCCTAGGCCACAGCAGCGGTATCGCCTTCCCATCTGTTCCGGACCAAAATACTTTCATTAACCTGGGCCTGAACAATCACCCCACATTCTTCGGTTGTAACAGCTCCAATTTCAGCGGCTCGGCGCCGCTAGTTGTCTACATCCCAAATGCGCCATACAGCTATCAGTCGAACGTGTCTACATTCGACCTGCAATATAATACCACGGAGCGTGACGCTATAATTGAGAATGGATACGACGTTGCCACGCTGGGTAACGCAACAGTCGACCCCGACTGGCCGACCTGCTTGGGCTGCGCACTCTTGAGTCGGAGTCTGGATCGCACCGACACCGCCGTTCCAGAGAAATGCGTGATGTGTTTCCAGAGATATTGCTGGAACGGCACGACAAATAGCACCAGGGCGGGCAATTACTATCCTGCCTACAAATTGTCGCAAATGTAATTCAGCAACAATCGAGTGAGATACCTCCTGCTAACCCCCAGCCGGATTTTGTGAGTCGCTGGCTGTCTTGCAGTGGCGTTTCCGATCTGGTAAGAATGGTATATTTATATTCACACTGTTATGTGTATCATTTACGCATCCAAGTTCTTCTGATCCACCCTGTGTAAAGTACATTTTAGTGTTTTTATCACGTCTGAAACCGGCGATATCGGAAAATCTTCAAAATTCCTGTACTTTCACAGTAACATGAGTATTGTGTGACTTTGCAGCATGCACTGCTCTAGCATTTGAGTCATGCCGACTGTGACTGATTTACCCTTCATCTCTTAGTGACTGGAAATTTACCAGCTAATATTTCTACAGAGGATTTCGAGAACCGTTTCCCTTCCAGACACGCTCTCTTCCCCAGCGCCCCACTCCGATTACTCTAAGCCTGATACGGTAGAAGCTATGCCTCTTTTAGTAGTCTAGTTGGGTGATTGGCTGGATGGATCCATTTAGTTCGACTATCTAGGCCTAGACCTAAAAATAAAAGTTCACATGATCTCAGATAGCTCATTACGCAAATCCAAACAAAGTTTCTCCACTAACAACGTCAGCATCCACGAAATCTCGGCATTTCTATCTGCCGGTTCTTTCAGGGGATCCATGAACTTTGTCATCATCTCATTTTCGGACTTTGGAGGGACAAAAGGTGTGCGCTCAGACGAACAGCTAGCATTGTATTCCCCTGCATGGAGCAGAGGAATAATCCTCGACCAAGTGCAACAAATTTTTTCCTTGTGCTCAAGAGACTCATCTGTCATCGCAGAAAGGAGACTCTGGATCTCTTGAGCAAGCTGTAGCTGAAACTGTATTGAGACCATCCTAGATTTGACCTGTGTATGTTCAGTACAACCCAAGCCGCTTGGAACATTCGACGTAATGTATGAGTGTCTTGTACACTCGTGCTCATGAGGTTCGCGCGTGCGACACTTGTAAAACAAGTGTCTCCATACATGGCTGGAAATATATTTCAACCATGTGTGAAACACATCACCCATGACTGAGACCAGGTTTGTGAGGATTGGGAGAGCCAAAAGAGACCAAAAGACAAAGAAAACCCTGCCGAAATTGCTCTGAGGATAGTAGTCTCCGTAACCAATAGTCGTGAGAGAGGTGAAGGTAAAGTATAGCGCAACGAAGTACGTCCAGTCGTCTTGTGTTTCGGATTGACGAAAAATTGCAGCGCTAAGAAACCATAGGAGAAACCATGCAATCAGAGACAGCCCTAGTTCTGCCCATCTTCGCCTTCGATAAAAGTCGGACTTGATCGTATGCAACTCCATGATTTCTGTCCATTTGGGGAATCGAATCTCGAGTGGTTCGTTTTCTAGAACTGCTGCGCTAGAGAACCCTTGTCGAGCGGTTTGAATTATATGCCTAAGCTTCATGTCCCTTATCCGACTGATGAAAGATGTCATAGACGTTATGACAAGGCCTAGGCTGACGATACCGCTAGTGGCATAAGGAAATAGTAGACTTCGGCCGAGATGAGTTTGGGGAGTTAGGTTCCCGATACCGATGGTGAGAAGGGTATAGTCAGTGAAATACAGAGCGTCTATCAATGACCAGCCTTCAATGCTACTGTATATAGCTGCTCCACCGAGAAGAAAAATGACAAAGATATTGACGCGGAAGACAATGCTAGTGCATTCAATCAATCGCCTGTCTGCCGAAGTGAAAGTCTTCGCTTTCGCGCTGAGCATGTAAACTGCGAGCAGAATCGCTGATAGAGTGTACAGTCCTGCGGCTATGATGCAAGCGTAAAAGCTCTCTGTATATATCGAGTGCTGGTTGGTGTTGGCTTGGGCTTGCTGATGCTGCTGAGTCTCGATACCGATCAGGTTGAATAAAATTACCGCGGAAACCAGCCAACCACACACTGTGACCATGTATCCTTTGAGTGAGTCAAGGTGAAGGACCATAAAAAGTAGGTACACAGCATCAGCACCGGCAGATACGACTAGTGAAGTCGTTTTGAGTCCCGTAGTCCTGTGGTCAGTATTGGTTAGCATTTGTAGGATTGAAAGACGAGCAAAGCATCAGTACCAGCCTGGCGCGGGTAGCACAGAAGATCGTCCGTCAGGTTGTACTATTTGTTCCCAGTCATGTACCAGCCCGCAGATATTGAACATGAGTGCTATGGCACAAAAGGTTCCCTACGCGCCCTATCAGCTGCAGAAACGGTACAAAAAGATAGGTAATCATGATACCGCAAGAACCGGGAAGCCTGTAGAGGCAGCCAACCAACGGCCCCACCAATGACTAATGCATGTTTAGAAACAATAAGGAGTGTCATTAGTTCGGTCACTTGCCTATTTCTCTGGAGAATTCTGTTCTCCGACGAGGAGTTATATCTATTTCCACTGCAACCTAGCATGTTCCCGCATCTGATCTTGTCGTTGCCATCTCTTGTTTAGCCAAGGACTACCCTTATAAAGAGCAGAGGCGGCCCAGTTAGGCGGACTCTATGATGTAGTATGATAGCTTCGCGGACTGCACACACGTAGGCCAGCCGGTTTCCAACCACGGTTGAAATACCTGGGGCCCAATAATTGTATTTCGCGGGGGTTGCAGCGTTGAAGTCTTCCGCTGTGAAATGTGTTTCAACTAATGTCTTAGTAGCGAATGAATTAAGTCGATCATCGAAATCGGGATACCATTTAAGCTGACGTTCAGGCATAAACCCCTTGAGAATATCGAAAACGTGCGTAATTTTAGATCGTTCCGTTATCGTACCTAAGTTACTGGCCGAGACCCCCGACCACATAGAATACGACTATTTCACTTAATAACCATGAGAGGCCTTTGGTGCATGGTTGCTCGTGTAAATCATCCGAAGGTTCTTCGTTTCTTGCCACCTCTAGCCTGCACGACCATGTCACTTTCTGACGTGCATAGAAGTTAGCGCCCACCATGGCTGGCAGGAGGCGATCCCAGGGATTCAATCACCATCTTCTACGGGCCTTTGATACGACTGCCTGCGACTTCCATGGTTCGCTTGTTGCCTAGAGGGCCGATTTCTGTACTCTGATGCTTCCATGCTATTTTGATCTTCGTTCCCGACGTGATCTCTAGCGAGCACCGGTTGGAGACACTAGGCCCACAAGACATCACGCCATTCCCCAGCATTTTTTTCGGTCGCGGTTGGGACAAGATTGCCAGTCATCATTCAGCCCCTATCAAAAGGTTTCCAGACACTCGGGATTATGTAATTTTGATATGCCCTAGTTACCTACCATCTTCAAATATATATTTCGTCCCCAAACATATAGCCTACCACTATATAACTAAATGGGAAGATTGCTAATTTGCCAGAGATAATATTAAATATCTAATATTTACCTAGTATACCATCCTTTAGCAACACGTAGGGCCTGTAAACGCCTAGGCATGCTGAGAATTAGGCTATCAATTTTAGCCTGATCGAACACAGCCCGTGCAGCGTTTAAACACTCTATAAAGTACTGCCACTCTGCCTCAGATTGAACCATGCCAATTAGCTCCGGAAACATACTAAACACCTTCAGTTTTAATAAGCGTCACACTATCTCGATGGGGCTCATATCAGGCGAGTGTGCCGGCCACTCTACCACCTCGATACCATGCGATTCAAACCACTATTTCGCGATATCGGCATTATGGATCTTTGCGTTATCTTGCTGGAAGATAGTACCGGGTGTATAGTGCGGAACTAGACCCTCATCAATCGCATCGATATAGGATCTCGCGGTGTAGCCGTTCTTCGCTGCCGATTCATCACGTCCATAATCACTAGATCTGAGCTGCTAGCCACCTCGCCGCCCAAATCATCTGTGATAAATCGCGTACGTGAGGCACAATATTCACAAGATCACGCCTATAGGCCTCCGAAGTAGACTGCCACACCCATCCGCTACCTGAACCGATTGTTTTGGAGTGCATTTCGACGTAACATTCATCCGAAAATATCCACGTGTTCCACGCGCGAAACTGGCAATATTTCAGAGCAAAACGGTAGCGCTTCATCGCTTTAGAGGGCTTTAAAGGTATTTGATTCCCTCGCACGGCGTTTACGAAGTCAGTATTTTTTTCCATAGCGGATTGGGTAGTTGCGAGCGAAGCGCTAGGTAGCTCCAATTAGGCTGCTGGCGGGCTAACTGATAGATCTGGCGTGTATCCCGAGGGCTAATATTGACAGGGCGCTCTGCGAGGTAGGGATTCAACGGTGTTATGCTGTTTGAAGCGCTCGAGTGTGTCATGAATTGTACCGCGCGCAGGCGAATTCACGCGGTTTATGCTTAGATAGGATAACAGCGCGCTGCTCAGGCGATAGCTCTGCCTTTCTTCTCCTATTGCCACTAGTAACAGTGCCAAAAGAGCGTTCCATGGTTGTGTAGGATTAAAAATAAAATGGGGAGTTTGGGACGCGTTGTGTAAAACGCGCTAAATATCAGCGTATGTCGGGAAACATTTGAACGGACTGTATGTAAAGGACCCAGGGTCGAAACGGACTCTGTGTTAGTTAAACCTGAAACATATTCAAGAATTAATTGCATTATTAATTTCTTCTCAGCTTGAACCGCAAACTCCTTGCCTCAGAAGTCCCTCAAAGCAGGATTTCCGGCCCAATGGGAGTCAGACCTCACAGAACATCATTTTCCTGGACACAATTCCAGTGACTTCCAGATCCGGCGCTCTGCAACTGCTCCGCATGCGGATACACGCGTCACCACATACGACATACCATGATTAGCAATGTGGATAAACTCAAATACCCGTGTAGGCCTCGCTTTGGGATTAGACTCGGGATTCATTTATACTGGGAGAGCTCTGGGGATGCTAAAGCGTCTTGGTGCACATGAAAAGATCTTCATCTGACCTGCGATATAGAGTACCTCTTTCGCCTCGTGTCAGGAGACCATCTCGCTTTGATGGTTATTATAATCGCGGAAAAGCCTCATGATTGCCGCTACTCGGGAAAGTATTAGCCAATAACAGTTGGATATAGGTGCAGCCATAGCCCGTTCAGCATCGTAAGTGAAACAGAATGATTGATATTACCCATCTGGCAAACATCATTCTGGACACTGTTCTAAGCCGGCAATATGAGCCGCGCTTGCGAAGCACAAGATATACGGCCTGCGGAGGTGCCTGATTCCAAGAGTCAGTTTCTCAGTCACGACTTCTGCTACAGGTCCTCGAACAGCAGCTGACAAGCAGGCAGAAGTCTTCGAAGAGAGCTATGACAGCCCCCGTCAAGCCGGCTTTCAGCCTCCTTTATACCTGAAATGCGGGCCTCTCCTGCGCTTTACTGGTATTGACAGAAAGCCGCGAATGGACGAGCCCTTGAGTAGGGATGTAATGGAAATATGGGAAGGGAGTGTTATGGTTGTGACTGTGGATGCTATGTCAACCTACATGAAGCCTCCGACCCTCTGGCTCTTTAAGCAGACGGTCGACCTCCAGACTTCTGAAGCCCAAAAGAGTGCCCCCAGTGGTCATCAACTGGCAGCAGAGTTCGCAGACCCTCTCACCGGTCAGATCAAGATGTCCAGATTTGGCAAGCCGCTGTATGTAAAGCCAGTGGGTAGCCTTCAAGAAAGGAGGGATCTTTCTTGTGACGATAACAACGGTCTGTTTGAGACGACCGAAGATAACCAAACGGCTACAACATCGTCAAATGTCGCAGACCTATACCCCGAAAAGAGGGATAATAACCAGAGACATGAAGTCTACAAAATTATCGGTACGCACCTGCACGCTGAACGGGGGTTAACATTTTGGAAGTTCAAACTTGAAATCCCGCTAGGCCCCCGCGAAACCCGAATCATCTACCATATAAACCACGGCACTACCACCAGTTTCTGGATTCCCGCAAAGGGGCAAGGAATGAACGTCATGTTTCAAAGCTGTAATGGATTTTCTCTTTCCGTCGACCCGGACCCTTACTCCGGGCCGGATCCTTTATGGCGCGACGTTTTGAATGCCCACCAGAAACGCCCCTTCCACCTCATGATTGGAGGGGGCGACCAGATTTACAATGACGCGTGCAGAGTGCAGACACGTTATTTTAAGAAATGGACAGGGATGAAGAAACCTCGCCCCAAGCAATCTTTGAGCTTTAGCGCTGAAATGCAGGAAGAGCTCGAGGACTTTTACTTAGCCCATTACTCTTCATGGTTTTCTCGGGGACTTTTCGGGATGGCCAACTCTCAGATACCTATGATAAATATTTGGGATGATCACGACATCATTGACGGCTACGGTTCCTACCCGCATAACACAATGGCGACTCCTGTATTCAAAGGACTAGGGGCCGTGGCGTTTAAATACTACATGCTCTTCCAACACCAGAGCGTTCCTGAAGAGACAGAACAGGAGGAGCAAAGCTGGCTGCTTGGTGCTGAGCCTGGGCCATATATTGAGGAGTTCAGTCGGAGTATATTCACATTTCTTGGCTCTCGTGTAGCCTTTTTGGGGCTAGATTGTCGCACCGAGAGGACGCGCAACCAGATTCTTTGCCAGAATACCTGGGATCTGGTATTGGGACGCTGCAAGGAGAAGATTGTAAAGGGCGAGGTTAAACATCTCATTGTCCTTCTAGGCGTGGTAAGAACGAATATACCCACCTCTATCTAAGAGGAAGCTGGATATCGCTAACTGTATTTCAAGCCAATTGCGTACCCCCGGCTAAACTTTCTTGAAAATGCCTTGACATCAAAAGCAATTGAGCCTCTGAAAGCGCTTGGGCGAATGGGAATTCTTGGAAACTTATTCAACAAGTTTGATAGCGGTTTTGAGATTCTGGATGATCTCGAAGACCATTGGACTGCAAAGCATCACAAGTTAGAAAGAAACTGGTTCATCCGACAATTGCAAGACTTGGCAGCGGCAAAGTCGGTCCGTATAACTATTCTTGGCGGCGATGTCCACCTCGCCGCCGTCGGCCAATTCTATAGCAACAGAAAGCTCGGTATTCCGCAAGTTCATGACCATCGTTACATGGTCAACATCATCTCCTCAGCGATTGTCAACAGGCCACCTGCAACCATGCTTGCGAACCTGATAAATCGACGCAATAAGGTTCATCACTTGGACAAAGAGACAGATGAAGACATGGTCTCCATGTTCCAGCGAGACGTTGATGGCAAGTCCAGGCGCAACACTCATCTACTGCCACGTCGAAACTGGTGTTCACTCCTTGAGCACAACAGAGGCGGCTTGAAAATTTGCATAAACGTTGAAAAAGTACAGGGTAATCCTGCTGGTACATCTGTTGAATATTCGTTCTTTATTCCCACCCTGGATTACCGCGAACCTCGGAAACTTATTAAAGAGAGATTGAAGTGGAGGCGGTGGCCCTTTTTAGGTCATTCAGCGGAAAAGCGGTAGTTTACAAGTTGGTATCTGTCTAAATCGTGGTGGGTGTTTTGAAACCGTGAGCACATGAGGAATGAATTAATAATTACAAGTCTTGGTGTTAGAACTCATATAGGACACCTATTCGCTACCGATGTTCCTGTTGAACTAGATCATAGGGCAATAGCGGTATCTGTCAACCTGAAATGGCAAGCTCGACGAAGCTAAGGCCATGGAATTCGAAATTCCATGTAAATTCTGCAAAGCCCACCGATGACGTTCTTATCTTTGGTGTTTCCGGCATCCCGACAGAGGAGGTTTGAGAAATGGGGAAAGGTTTGTTGTTATCTTCCTTTATATAGAAGCTGGCAAAAGTGGGCGAGCAAAGATAGTTACTTCTGTCACCCGAAATCTTTCTGAGCCCAGCTGAGAGGGTCAGTGCGGTGGTCTCACCCAGCTTCTCACCCTGGTCGCGCGTGTTGAGTTATAAGTGACGCTTCAATGTATGCATAGTTGATGGGAGTTGATTGTGTGTTGTTCTAGGTACAAGAGGCTGGTAGCAAGGTAGACATATATACATGCACGTGCTCTCGTTCCCATGACTATCTCAGTGACTGGGATATTCAACAGCGTGACCCTAAAGCGGCGCTCACCCTAAACTCACCCGGGCGGCACCTACCCGACTATTGACTGCACATAAGCCACACGCCGGCCAGTTAGCAGTATGGTGGGTGACCACATACGAGTCCTGGCTGTTGTATGTTTTTTTTGGCATTGATTGATCTTAGCGACCGGTATATTCAGCATCTAGGAGTGGTTGAGTGAATCCAAACTTCAGCGTTACTATGTATTTCATTCAGTATTAGATCACCCCCGTCTATGGTCTTGATACGACGTAAGCAGAAGTATAAACCGCATCCCATTTAGAAAAGAATGAAGTTCTCATGCAATAATACTAGGTAAAATTTGTTATATTCTCCGGGGCCTTACCTTTACCAGCGTGTTGAGAATACACACGGCGTTAATATCCACATAGGCATACATCGAGCCCGAAATTAAACAAGGATGACTGACAACAGACTAACTATATTTCTAAATAGAGACAGAATCGCTCTTGCTCTTTGCTGATCATTTTTTCCCTCTACAAAAGGCTCCCCTTTCATTTATTTCTTCTTTTCTTGGGCCTCTCTCGCGAAATTTTGGTCGTGACCTACGATCGGACGCCCAGGTGCGTCCCTAAACACTATGTTCGTAGTCGTGGTCTTGAAGCTTCTGGTCAGCCTAGGACTCCTCCGTTCTGGCATTTTAGACACCACCTATAGTGCTATAGTGCTATATGCAATTGGATGCTGTGGCAAGTGCGGAGTCTGCGGTATGGGGCCTGACTACTGTGCCGCTAAAGTTTGTATTAAAAATTGCGACGCTAAAGCCGAGTGTAATCCGAATAAACTAAACGAGCGGGTATGCTAAATAGGAAATAGTAAACACCTTATTATCTGCCAGCGAGGGTTAAAACTTAGGTAATTCTACCGGCGAACCCGTAGTATTTTAGAGCTATCGTATAAAACTTAAACAAACGAAACACAAACAAGAAAATGTGGAGTTCAGAAGCCAACGAGGAACAGCGAACCTAGAACACGGGCAATTACTTATCACCCGCTCGCCTTAGGGTTTTCTATTAGCTTCTCCTTCTATACCGTTTTCTTTCCCATCTACCTCTACCAATTTCCACCTCTTAGAATTCCTCTCATTTCCGCGATGGCCTATACCAAATTCCATCAGCGTCACCCTAATTTTGAAAATAGGCGGCCCGCCTTCCGCGACACGGATAGATCACCTATGTACGAAGGGCCTTACCAGGGGCTACTCCTTTCCATCATAGAGTACAATGATGTATCGGCTCTATACAATGATAGCCCACACTACGCTATCTTCTTGCAAAACTACGACACCAATTACCACAATCCTTTCAGTATTGCTTTAGGATGTCGCAGCTATGATACACTGCGTGCGCTAATCGAGTTTTATCTTTCAGATACATCTCTGACTAAGCCCTTAGAGAAGTATCTCAACCGCTTCTCTATATCTCTCATTCATGAGGCTTACGCTGCCGCGGATCGAGATCTGGTTTTATGGCTGATAAACCATGATCTCCCGCTAGGGACTTTCCATGACCGAAGTTTCAGGCGCTGGACACCTCTGTTCTGAGCAGCCGAGGCGCTGGGAGAAGTAGGTAGTCTTATGGTATCAGCTAAGGCTAGGCAAATTGCCGTTGCTAGGCATAAAGCGCACGAGCGTCGAGACCGCGTCGAAGGTTTTATTGACTGGCTTGTTAGTATAGGCTGCTCCGTGTCCGAGTCTGATACCTTGGAGAATGATTTGGAACACCGCGAACTGCAGGGGGCTTCGGACAAAGTCCCAGTGCTAAAACGCACCGTTCTCGGCGCGGCTTTTCCCTATGCGAGCTATGCGATGGTTTCCTATCTTATTACCAATAGAACGGACGTTCACGACCGTCAGATATAGTCTGGTCAGTGCTACGGGATTAACTATGACGAAGAAGTGACCCTATTACATATCACGGCCCCTTTCTGGAATATGGAAGCTATACAGGCACTTCTAGATCATCGTGGCGATGCTAAGCTCTCGGAGATAGTGTCTATAGCTAACATTGAAGCACGACTTCCGCTTCACTCGGCCTTGACCGGTATTATGGATCGACGCGAAGAAAAGAATAATAGAGATGAGATCATCTCACGAACGACGGACACCGTTAAAACTCTGCTTAACATAAAGCCCGACACTGTCAATACGCAAGACCAACACGGCGCCACGGCCTTCCATTACGCGGTGCATATACATTTAGGCTACGTGGCAATTCCTTAAGCTATCAAGCTGCTTCTAACCGTCAATCCTTCTCATGATACACTGAATCTCCGCAATCGCCGAGGTACAACGGCTCTTGGAGATGCGATAAGGCCTTCTTTAGTAGTAGTCTAGACCGGTTAGCAGACTTAGTGAAGTCCTTCATCACGAATAGGGCCGATGCATGCTCATGTGATAACAAGGGACGCAGTATTCTCCATATTCTGAGCAGTCACGCCTAGCCCCCCAATCTTTACCCCCTGCCATACTGGACTTTCTTCTTGAGACTATTGATACTAACCAGATTAATGCCGATGGCTGTACTGCTTTGCATTACTTAGTGAAAATTCTGGATCAGAGTGATGCTATTTAGTACGTTGTTAGTCGGGGCGCGGCTGTCAATGCGGTTGATAACAAGGGAAATACTTCCCTTCACGAGGTAATGAAGGGAAAAATTCTTAGAAATAGATATGAAAACGGAGAGCTTAAGCCCCTACCAACGGGGCTTCCAAAAAGAGCACGAGATAAGTTAATTCAAGTCCTGCTCGATGCTAGAGCATCTATGGATCAGACCAACAGAGCCGGCCAGACACTAGGACGGGTATTAGACTGTGTATTAGAAGAGCAAGAAAGACTAAAGCAGGAGGACGAGGCACGGCGTGACAGTTAGGGTCGGCATCTAAGTATCAGACAGGGACGGGGACGAGTGGTTATTTATATTAGATCTGGTTACTGATACATTTGGAAGTCTCCCCGGGTGTCAAATTTTACCTCCTTGATATGCATAAGAAGTGGAATAAATCAAATAAGTCATCTTTGGGCATATTCTAAGTTTACCATTGACCAAGCCCCTAGATATCAATATCCAGAAATGCGTTAAGGATCGGCGATGAAGGCTAGCTTGGCAAATATAATTTCATTATGATATTTTACGAAGTTTTGTATGTTTTAACGTCTCCTAGGGGCAATCACGCCACAAGCTACCTTTTGGCGTCAAAGTACCTCAGCTATTACGTACATATATCTAGTTATAATTTTCTGTTAACAAGTTACCCTCGCATATGAAGAAACAATACTGCTAAAATCACAGCCTGATTCAAACCCAAATACAGTATATCCCTAGCGATCTGTGCTCCAGCTATCAACAGCTAGTGCTTTCTGACACTCACAATGTAATGTAGTCGTTAGCCTTGGCTTACTTAGACCGAAGTTTAGTGGTGCATGATTTAAGACTCTGGATTGCCCTGTACTATACAGTGGAGGTATTCTGGTATTAAGAAATGGGTTTAGAATTATCTACCCCAGAGGGTCTACACGGCTTTAGATAAGGTGATCGGGACGGGCAGGAATTACGTTACTTATTCTTTTCCTATCGTTCTTAAAGAGCAGAAAGCAATCTCACATCTCGACCGCAATTTCAAATAAATTTGATTTCCTCCATTATACATCCGAAAATCTGGAGTAACCCCACTCAGTACCATTCTTCCTTTCTTAAGTCACTAACAGCGTCAATATCATCAAGCGTGCCCACTGGCACAAACATCAGACCGCGGAATCCCTGCATTTCAGATTCGCGATAGAGAACCGACCCACAGTGGCTGCAAAAACAGATATGTCCATGTTTATCCTCTGACAGGACGGCGTTAAAGATGGTGGTGCTTTTTGATAGGCCCGGGACGAGAGAGCGCCATTTCGAGACGCTCGTCAATCTGAAGCTCGTCTTCGGCACGATGAGGTTAGTGGTAGTGTATTCACCGCTGATCATGCGGCAGCGAGCACAGTGGCATATTATCTAGAGGTAAGCCAAATAAGTAGATGAAGAAGGGGCTTTACTCGCTGTGGTTCAGAAGTAGGGATTCTTCACCTTCCTGAGTACAGCAGCATCATCATTGACGATTGTGTATTTGTTCGCTGTGCAGAGACACGAACCGGTCAACATAATGAATCGTTTTGAGGATATGGTCTTTAGAGAGACGATTATCTGGAAGTCTCCGTTGACAGAAAATATAGGTAGAAATTTGAGGTCACTGATGACGTCTTCGACTCCACCACCAAACTTTAAGTGCTGAGGTCTAATCAGGTCTTCTTCGATTGAATTGGGAACTCTACCACTCTAGGCCCCGTGTTTTAGTCTAGTCCCTTGGGCCTTGAGAGGTACCTAAGTACTCAATTAGAGTTGTGGGGCTGTCCGCTACCACCCCCAACGAGCCTCTAGCTCGATCCCATGTGATCGACTGGTCACGAAATCCACTTTGTAACAGCGACATATATAAATAGAGGCACAGATTCTGGATTATTGTTGCATAAATATGCTGACAGTTAACAGTGACGCTCTGGATACATACGTCTGGTGAATGAGTAACCAGCAAGACGTAACAACATTTTTATTCGGCCGAAGCGCGCAGGAAAATGTGGCTCAATATGGCTCATCACTCCAGAGCGTGTGATGAAGCGCTTGGCTGTGGCCTTTGATAATCGAATTTAATATAGCCTCCACTGGGCTAGAAAGGCTAATTGACCGCCGGTTTAATAGATTCTTGAGCATCGCAGATTGCTTATGTAGTTGAACGATAGTCCTAGGCGTTTTTGGTGTGAATTGGCTAGAACTGGTGCTTGGCCGGCTACCTGGTGGTGTTGGCGTTCGCAGAGAGATATTCAGCTTTGAAAGGACCCTTTCTGCATCGATTGGCACTAAGCCACAAGCTGCGAAGCTATTTTGAATAGTTGATGGCTTTTGGAAGGCCTCTAGCCGCGCGTGTTGGTAGTCCATTAAGAAATCGATTTTATCGATATGGTTATATCCTTGACGGACAAGATCGCTTACGAAGCGACCGTATGCCCTTTTAACCACTGCAAAACAGCCAACATCTAGTGGCTGTAATAGATGCGACGCATGCGGAGGCATACAAAGAGGTATAATGTCGCTTTCTGCGCAGATTCGGTCGAATTGAGGTGTAAGATGGCTACCATGACCATCAAGGATCAATAGCCTAGATCGGCCGCGTACACGCGAATTCGTTGATGGGATAAAGAGCTTTTGTAGCCAACGTAGGCCACTCTCATCGGTAGTCCAGCCATTCGCAGAGACCTCGATTCGCCAATCTTTTGGTAGGTTATTAAACCAACCAGCGATGGCAACCTTAGCTTTGAAAATCACGCATGGCGGAAGCGAATAGCCATCAGCGCTAATTGCCTCAATCGTAGTAACCCATTCGCGATTTCCTGATTGTAAAAGACGTGGCCGACCGCAGATTTCTGCCCGCGTAACAACATTCTGCGTAGAAATAAGGCCCATTGCAAATTCTGTCTCATCAAAGCTATAGATATCCTCCGGTTGGATCCTGTTCTCATCAATTATACGTTGTACGGTCGCGAACCAGGCTCGTAGGGCTGTCTGGTCTTCCTTTAATGGGCGCTGATAGTCGTATTTCCTCGAGTATCGCGAGCGAAGCTCTTCACGCAGTTCAATAAAGGCTGCTGACCAGTTCTTGCTAACAGTAGGCAGAGGGTGGCTACCGCGTGCAGCCAGTAGGATATTGGCCATCTCTCGTACAGTAGCCTGGCTGGGGGCTGCTCCACGCAAAACCATAGAGATAACCCATTGGCAAAGCGAATCCTCTTCCAATTGGGTCAAACTATGACCAGATGGGCGCCTATCAACGCGTGAGGCCTGGCCGCTGCCGCGTCCTCGGGGTTTAAGGTGTAACAGTCAAAGGGTAGCCGCCCAGACGGTCAGGTCAAAATTGGCAGATAGTATTCATGACACATATGAGTACAGTAATAAGGGCGTGTTAGTCATTTCAAATATTCAAGGAGTGCATCATCAGCTGCATAAGAGCCACACGGGATACTAATAATGGTTAAGTCATGCCAGTGCGAATTTCCATTGGATTTTGCGGATATCCGTGCCTTGGAGTGTCCAACAGTTGGATGCGGATACAGCTTTGGCAAAGGAGCGAATTTGCCGCAGCCAGCAAGAAAGTAGTGAAGATTTCTGCAAGTAGCGTATACCAAGCAATTTTGCTCGCAATATATTCATTTTCGTAGTAGGAAACTGACTTGAAATTTTCAAGATTAAGCCTTACATCTTAACGCAAGACCTCCACCAACGCCCGTTGACCCTTTCGCATAGCTATATAGTGAGGGTTTTTTTCCAAAATCAGTACACAATTTCACATTAGCTACGTGGCTGAGGAGTTCAGCTATGCTCAGCGTCTGTGCGAAATGCAAAAATCTCCAGGGTTCTCATCGAATTCCAACCTGATGAGAAGGATGAGTTCAGGGCGCTGAATGGTTGCGCCATGCGAAAGTAATAAGCTTACCCCTTCTTCGTTTGCACCGTGAACACACCACGGAAGAGCTGAAATCGATGAACAAATTACATTGTGTTTGTAAAGTCTCGGAACGCAAAAGCCGAGAGAATCTTTTGTTCGTCCTCAATAGAAAAAAAATAACCCTATCTTTTCCATTTTCTTGGTAATTCTCATGATAACTCCGTTTTGGTAGGCTCGATAAAGACATGTCGATAGGCTCACATGTCGCGACGACGGAGTAAAATCAAGTGTGAGGGAGCTAATAGAAAAGTTTGCCGCTACAATACATTACTGTACCATGCTATGTCACAGTTCTACAGTTCATCCTCAAGAAGTCGTCTTCGGCCGAAGAAAGTGACTTTTTCGGCGCCTAGCGTTGCTTGTGGTCTACACCAATGACGACTTGGACTTATATATGGAGCAGCTGATTGGCGGCCGCAGATGCTTGCAGAACACCGTCCACGAGATCTGGCCCACGCTAGCTCGGTCGCGTGGCGCTAGTTTTGCCCGGTCGTCAACCACGCTCTGGACCAATAACCCTTTCGTCCTTACTTTCAAATATCCCAACGACCATCTGTTGTCGTTAACGAGGCTAACATAGCGCGCTATTATGTAGAAAACCCGGTTACTCCAGTCTTAGCCACTTTTTCAGAAAAGCGCATGGAAATCAAGTATCTGACTACCACGTTGCTTTCCTTCTGTTTCTAGCAATCGGATGTCCGCAACCAGCTCTACCGTGGGTCTAGTTGTCTGTTAGGCGTAGCTCGTGAACGGATAAACAAAACTACGGGACTTCTTACTACTTCGCTCGTACACCTCTCCACAAAACCCGCAATGAATTATATCTTGCTGATGCCCAATACTCCGTACATCGCAACACGTTAGCCCTCGCGGCTGGCACTGGAAAGGTCGGAGACTGACATTTTTGTTTCCATATTCCTACTGCTGAACCCGGCGCAAGGCAGGACCTCCTGTCAAGTGGAATCGATAGCTCTAGGCCCCTCTCCTCGAATGATCCTATGTCTTCTAGTTTCTATCTCTGGATGGAATTCCTCTGCTTTTCATAAACCAAAACTTGACCGTGAGTTAGCTTCGGTCGATTGACCCATGGCTTACCGTCCAATATTCTGGATACCAATGCCTGAATAGCGGGGAATATCTGGTAGATGACGACTCTCCACCCATGGTACTGTGTCGTCAAGCTAGCTATGGGAATCTCTCCATCTACCCTTCTTTGAACGGTTCGGCCAGGAGATAAATGTCAGCAAGCGGTACGAACCACATAATACCTAAACATGGAGCGTCCAGACCCCGGTTGTATGGTTGCTCGGTCATGAGATAATTCTGGCCGCGGCCTTTCAAACCCCTAGCAGATACGCACGGAAAACAGTTTGCTCGGAGCTCGAATATTGCCACCTAGAGATTGTCCAATGAGGCTCATCGATACATGAGATCAAAGTGAGCATTCTTCTATCCCGCACCGACGGCCGAAAAGACAAAGCTTTGAAAGTAAATATCACCAACGTCGAGCACACAATTCTCAAACCTTATAAAAATGTAAATTGGAGGGTAATTAGCCATTGTGATAGTTCGCCTACTCACTGCAACATTTGATTTAAATCTTCCTTCAAGCACGATACATTTACGGTTCAAAACCTATCAGTCGCGTGTTTTTTAGAACCAACTTCAGTGATGACTGTACACCAAACCGAAGTACGTGCCCAAAAAAACGTATCCGATTCGGTCGCAGACTTGGCCACTTGCAAGAAGTACAGTATGGAATCATTAGGCGATCCAGTCAGTAACTGCCGTTACTCCAGCCATGCTGTGGGTATGCGAGGAGAACTGCAGCTCAGCTTTATACTACTGGAGCCCGTGGTATATTTGCAAGGCGACGGCAAATCGGATCGCCACGCCAAGAACCACCCTGCAATCTCTCGGGGTTACCTCCATCTTAAACTCACCAAACCGACCAAAATCAAGAGCATATGCGTCTCCTTTCATGGTGTTGCGAGACTTCAGCCGTTAGGGGGTACGTCTTCCATCTATTTTAAGCGCTAGGGCGGCACCGCCCACTTTTTCATCGCGGCTAACTCATGATTGTATGTTTCCAATAGAGAGCTCAAAAAAACAGGATCTGATCACGTCTGGTATTACCTACCTCGAGGACGGGCATGCGACATTCTCGGGCGGCTATCACAACTTGTGCGACGAGTCTATAGCGCCTACAGAGACCAGGCAAATTGGCAAAGGCAGCGCTCCAGCGTTGTGCTTGCAGCGACTTTCTCCTCCGGAGTATGATCCAGGCGGCTTAGATCGGTCTGGATATCCGGGCACCGGTAGCGGAAGTCCCCGGCATACCAACTATAGTCGTTCGAAAGGCAATTATACGGTATTTCCTGTCGGCGATTATACCTACAGCTTTGAGTTTCTCTTGCATGACTCTCTTCCCGAAACTATCAGCACTGAGCTTATATCTGTTCATTACTACCTGGAAGCGAAAATCGAGCTCCCTGGTATATTTCATTCGCAAATGCGGTCACAACTGGATGTCCCGGTCCTTCGTTTGCCTTTGCAGAACTCGCTGGAACTAACTGAGCCAATACTTGTCTCTAAGGACTGGCGTGAGCAGTTGCATTATGATGCTTGTATCCTCGGCAAAAGCTTCCGGTTAGGCTCCCGGATACCAATAAGATTGACGCTCACTCCTTCTGTCGACCTTAAATGTTGCTGGCTCAAGGTCTACGTGTCTCAGCATATGCAGTACTGGAAAACTGGACGGGAAACTCGCTTATTACATTTGGGTCAAAGAAAAGTGCTTCTATTCGAAAAGCAGGCTGGAAATGAATATAAAAGCACTTTTTCTGGCAGCAAATTTCGGATCGCTTCAGAACGGGACATGAAACGACCGACAGATACGCAAACTCGGAGTCTGCTTGGGGCAGTACAGGAAACACGGGCATTTGAATTGGAGGTGCAATTGCCCAGATGCCCTGAATTGAAAGAAAGACCGCGGTGGCAACAACTTCACCCAAGCACCAGAGCAGGTAAACCGGATGTGAACCACTGGATCCAGGTAAGGAGCCGCGAAACCTGCTCAGTGTCCTCTCGCCTGGGAGACCGAGCAATCTATATAACATCGCTAACCCTCCTCGTACAGATCGTGTTGTGTCTTTCAAAGGAAGATAGGGATGAGACAGCAGGAAAAAAGCAGAATTCACTCCAATTCCTAACCATGGAAGCACCCATCACTGTACTATCCTGCAAGGCGACCTCGTCCAACATCTACGTTCCGCCATATTCAGTTGAATACAATACAGAAGCAATGCCATTGCGATATTCGGAATGCGATTGCGTTGGCAGTGACTTTACTGCAACTCTTGCACCATTGCATAAAGTCGAAGTTCAGGAAACCTTGTCTGTTGAGCCAATTTTGCCAGACGATTTAACAGGGTCGCTCGGCTTTGAGAGCAGCTGCAATGACATTAAGCCGCCACCTCGAGCCCATATGACTAGATTTAGCGTTCCAGAAGTCTTCCAATGAGTGGCCCCCATGGGGAACGAGACTTCTCGTCTTGTCGACTTCTTTCCCGCTCGAAGGTTGCTCTATTACAGGCTTTTGTACTTTTACGCGCTTTTTACAAATGAGAGATTCTTTCAATGAGGGGTTCAAGACATATTTCTACCCAAGCTTTATGGCTTCGCAGTCTGTATCCACAGATTTAGAGTTATCTTTCATTTCGTCTTATAGCGCCACTGTAGTGAGGCTAGATATTAGCTGACCGTCGGCCAATATCTGCAACGCGACAGTCTGGTTGTTCTCATAACAGGTTATAAAGAAAGCTATATCTCTCGAGTCAATAATGATATTGACGTGTAATGGTATGCGTCAACTTGAGCTTTTTTTCCACTGGATCTATCGTACCCGCTGGAGCCGTATAACTGTCCACAAAATAGCTAATGCCCCTAGGTTTGAGCGAAACACCTAACGGATCCATTTTGAACACGCGGATTGATGTGGCTTGTGGCACGTAGAATGGCGCACCGGCCGTGTGGATTGAGGTGGAGCATGGTGGCCAGGTTACCTTCTTTAATCAGAATGGAGATCGATCGATGTGCTTTTTGAAACATGGATATAAGGTCGGAAGCTGGTGTAATAAACACCCCGTCTTACATCAACGGCGTCGTCAAGAGAAGGAACGTACAACACCGCCGCTTTTCTGCAGCCGATGAACAGCATAAAGCTATCCCCGCAATAGCTGCCCTCCATCTTCCATTCTGCTCGGTCATATTCAGCGTTGTTCTTTGAAATCTCACTTTGAATTAGCCTGGCAAGGCTTGCTGACTGGGCTCCTTCACACCACCCCCATATCAACGTCAGAGCGTCCCCTCACCCATGCCAACACAACTCGCTGTTCCCGGATAGTGTGCGCGGCTTCTCACCAAGCCGACGGTTTCGAACCGACGGCGGTTCCACTCTTATTCTCCATCTCCTTACACTTCCACACAGCCTAAACTTGCTTGATCACATACCATGGGCGCGTCAAAAGATTACTTTCACGGAGAAAAAGGCGGGGCCATCGCTTATTACGAAGAATTTATAGCTACTGTACGCGTGATTCGCAACTTCCCAAGGTACATCGACGAGATAATGGATGTTATACTGCCAAGGCTTGTTGGCTCGTGAGGTACTGGTACTTCATTTAAAACACTTTCATATAATACCATATCGGCGGTACAGCGTACCTACACATCTGCAGTTCCTGCCGACACGGCTCATTGGCATTTGACTGGGTGCTTGAAAGAGCGACCGGTCTGTCGCTTCGTCCGGCGCCGCTACAAGGAAAAGAAAGGAGTTGTTTATTCTTGCTCACAAGTTGTCGGTGGAACCTCAGCCAAACGGATGCGTGTTTCTGGTCAGAAGTAATCTCTGCGCTATCTCCACTGTCTTGTTCATGTTAAACAAATTGACAAAAGGATCATGGACAGCGTGGAACTTGTGATCGTTATCCTTGCATGGCCTCTAGCAGGTCACATATTTCGGACACAAGGATTAATCAGACCGCCATGAGTAAGCTATCTGTGTATCTGTGTGTCCTTCGTAGACCACTGACAGGGCTGCCAGTGAGACTAAGCGGGATATATAATGTTAGTAAACTTTAATATGTTGTTATACGTCGTTATTTCCAGGGAATGACATACCCCGCCCTTCTTCCCGGTTAAGTACCCAGCTAGATCAGCGTTTTGAGATCAGAGTTTTGATATCAGCGTTTCCCTCTCCAAAAGTGTCACTCATCTGATGATGCTGATACATGATAATGCTTGATTCAGGTACCCAATGATTTCATCGCTGGTACCACTACTCCTACAACTACTCGGCTGAATTTCTATTATGCCAGCAATATTGTATGCAATAGCATGATCCGGGGAGATAATATCACCCAGATCGGGCGAACGTACATGCACAGCGGTATTGTCACCACATTGCTGCCCGTGCGAACAGACACAGCATAACAACATAGAGCATGCGACGACTCGAGCCACGTAGGAAAGTGATGGTAGAACAGAACAGAATGTACCATCGAGGATGCACAACTTCGGTTAAAATTTTAATTGGCAACCTACATAGTGAACCTTCTCCGAAAAAGACAACATATTCTTCTATTAAGTGTACTGTATTGAGATCTGATGTACAACCAGCTGACATGAAGGATTCACCATTTCGCACTGTCTATCTTTTTGAATCCGCTCTCTTTTTGAATCCGCGAGAGAACGACTATCAAGACAAGGCGGCGATGGGTGATTACCGTTGGCAGCCACTTCACCGCTCGGCAGTTGCGCCGCACCACATCAACATAGGGACCCACTGGTCTGGCCTGGTTATCACCAGTATTCACCTTCCTAGATTCCCACTCACCTCTAACCCTCACCACAACATACTGTACCACCGCTTAACATCAAGCCTCACCTTCAATTCTTACCCTCAACACGCGTCATCCATCCTCGATGCCCGCAACACTCGAAACCCACCACAGACGAACAACTCCTGGACAAGCCTTCACACCAATGGGGACTACTTGAATTGCAGGCATCACCCAAATTGGCCCACGCTATCATGCACCGGATAATTATCGCCCTATAATTCAATAAATTTCTACATTGCATCCCATGTAAGAGAATGCCCATCCTCGAAGCTCAGGGCGTGTTTGAAGGTTACAAAATACCCTACGCGAACAAGGAACACGAAAGTACACTCTACAAACAAGCAGAATGATATAACACACAAAGTCCTTTAGCAGATCGTAATTTGGATGGATTCTTTGGAGCAGACCCTGGCTTCTTTGAGTAACTCCCTCGATTATTAGCCTCTGACACCGCGAGAGGTGCCTGCTTGTCGTCAGAGGATCAGGACGAGGACCGCGGCGCCACGGGTCGCCAAACGAGCTCAAATTTGATAACGCAGGGCTCAAGGCTGCACGGAAGCTCATTATTATACAATCACCGGCCTCAAGGCTGTGAGGGAGAATTTGGTGTCGCAGCGGTCTCCTGCGGAGCACAGTTCAACAACACAGGGCTCATTACTGCGAGGGAGAAATTTTTAACGCAGCACTCTCCTGCAGAGTTCACTTCGTGACGCAGCGCCCCCCCTGTGGAGAACAGTTGGTAACGCAGAGCTCATCATGCGGAGCACATTTGATATCGCAGAGCTCATCCTGCGGAGAACAGTTGGAATCGCAGAGCTCATCCTGCAAGAAGCGCGATCCTTATTTCACTGAGCTCATACCAGCAAAAGCAGGCAAAATGCCATCAGCGGGTGGCGTGAGTGGTCCACGAGCTGCGATGGGTGGCGGCCGGCCAGATAATGAGAGGATGGAGGCACCGACCATCGGCGGAAATGCATACAATTGCTGTACTGTAAATAGCGTCCGCTTCACCGTGGTTCCTTTCTCAACTCGTCTCTGTGGATAAGGACTTTGAGGGATTTGAGAACGCTGAGAAGAACTCCCATCTCGTCCATATTACTGTAAACACTTAAAGGGAGTTATTCTATTTCTGAGTAAACTAACATTTGAAACCTCGATTTCTCCTAATTTACCTCCAGTGATAATTTATCCTAAATACAATATAGAGTTAGCCAAAATTAAGTTTTTAATGGCTTTTCATTGAATAAAATCCTATAAAAAATAGAAGTAAATTATGAGTTTTAACTTTTAAGGGAGTGGTTTTATTGGGGTTGCCTCACAATGTAGCCTCACGTGATATCTACACCGACATTATGGAGGGCCTCTTCCTCCCACAACTGCCTCACGAGAGTCAGTTGCTTGCCTCTGCGGGTAGCTCGTCATCTCTCACGCAGTCAAGTCTTGATTTTGTCCCTCCCGCCTTCCATCTGTATATAGAATCCAATACAATACAGACAAATTGCCTCCCTTCAGGGGAGCGCGGACGGGCCCTATCTGACGCTACGATCTACGACCGCAGCGACAGGTGACCCGTTATGGCCAAACTACACTCTTCTTCCTCTTCTTGACTGCGTGAGGTCACCAGTAAAGAAAACCAAAAAGTCAGCCAGGATTTACAAAAAGTCATCCACCATACTGGTCACTAGCTGGCGCGTGGCTATGTGCGGGGGGCTGGTGCCGCCTAGGTGAGTAAAGGGTGAGTAAAGGTAGACTTGTGTAATAGATAGAATCACAATTTAGGTGAGAAGGAGGTGATGGTCGCGCTAATCTTGCAACGAGATTCTCGGTTTTGTAAATTGCCAGGCAGAGTTGATCATTGATCATTTGATATTTGAGGAATCATAGTTGTGTTAAGTTTGAATAATACTCCCATAGACTTAGAGGACAATCTTGTGTAGGGTCGCAAATACAAGGTAATCAGCAACAAAGGATACCACTATTTTCCCCCCATATAACCTCAAATGAGTAAACCCAAAGCCAGAACGACTTCTCCACACGCACATATATCTTACTCTTTGGCCATCCAGCTCGAAGGTCCCGCGTGAAAGGTGACGTGGATAGCTGATATCAAACTTGAGTGTGTTCACCATTCAATGCTGGCGCAGGGTCGGCGCCAGGGGCTGTAGTAGTTCCATTATTAACACCACGGCCCGATGAACTCAATTTCTCGGGATGATTCACAGTGGCGACCGCAGAATGCCGACTGTTGAGAAAAACATTGAGGGTTTCCAAACATAGGCCACAGAACGTCCAGAAGCTTTGGGGATAAATGAGCACGTGTGTTCGCGTATTTGGAAAGGGGAAGGTGAGGAATTTTTGTGGTGCTAACTCACAAAGATAGGAAAGTAAATGCTTCAATGGCATTCCTCCGCCTGCAACTGGTACTTACGTCCCAAAGGAAGTAAGAACACCCAGCACCATCAATAAGGTCATCGGTTTGAGCAACAAAGATGAATGCTGACAGCCATCTATAGTGTTTTGAGAGTCATCAGCTTCATGCCTCAGAGAAGTGACTTATCGTCAACGATCGAGGGGTTATGAGGGAGAAGGGTCTGATATACAGTGCATAGAAGACTATATCTAATGGAATCATATATCCACGGTTGCAGCGCATGCATGCGGTGAAGAGGGAGGGTATATAAAACGCTGTAGTGAGAACCGCCTATGCGAAGAGTGTCAGTGGTATCCAAGTAGAGTAGTAAGAGGGTATCAAGAAAGATTCATGTGCTCACAATGACTAGGGTGAAGATGGCCCGATAGCCCTTCAGGTGATCAACCACCCAGGCAGTAAGGCCCAAAGTGATTACTGCGGAGATCCATAGGAGCAGGCGAACTGAAAAAAGAAATGGCCGAATAACCTTAGCGTGTTGCATCATAATCGAGAATTCTGGACTCTGTAGTCTGTGATGATGAAGTTCTTGCAGGAAGAGGCATTGTTTTAAAAACCAGGGCTGTCAGATGAGAAGCCCAAAGTCAATGACGCTGCTGTGAAGCTCTATACCCGGGAAAATCTTAATAGAAATGCTTTCATGTTTCCAGCTGTCAGATAAGGGGCAGGTGATTGTCAAATTCCTGGTAAACTCTGGTTTAACCAGGCCTAGCGTAAACTAGCCGGTAGATGGATCGTTTCCAGCGATGTAGACATTGGAGGACATGCTTTTGGCTAATTGAATTCCAGAATACATCTATTGGCTTTCAGGCCTTGAGAACGTAAAAAATATATTAATTCGTCTTTTATCTACACTTTAAATCGAACAGACTCACGACGGACGATCTTCCCGGAAAATCAACGTTCATGGCGGATTAGTACAGAGTCATTACACACCTTATATTAGAACACTACCGTAAGTCTTTGGAATAATCGAAGTTACTTGATGAGACTCTTACGTGATCTTGATTTATGGCTGAAAACCATCGACTTACGGGTGCCAACGTGCGATCGATCATGTGGACAATTAAAAACTCCTGGTGGCGGATTCTGCAACCGACGCACCACAGCGACTAAGTCCGGTAGAAAATTGACCAATGAGCTTCATGAGCTCCAATAACCGTGATTCAGTGGCGTTTAGCTCATCAATCAGCTCTGATGGTCAATTCAAGTCTCAATTTCTTCTGTATGCTTTTGGCCCTTTGAACCGGTTGACCTCTCCATTTTGTTCCTCCGATTGCTTCGACACAGGCAAGTCGTGATGACGACTCCCGCTACCCCGTTGGTTTGCTAGAAAGTCGGAATAACGCCATCATTCAATTTCCAGTCGTCCATGTTAGTATACTGGTAGCATCCCTCGAAATCGTCATTAATATTCGCACTGTCGAGATTTCATGCTCAAATTGGGTCTACCAAATTATGCCAACGCCTACAATCAGGTAGATTATTAAGAGAAACATATACAGTGGATTTCGAAAACAGTTTACCCCCCGAACACACGCATTTACTCTCCCAGAGACCCACTTTGGCGCCTAGTCCGCATCGCCTAGGTTCTAGATCCTCCCGCAGCCAACGATACGGCGTCATATCTCGGCGAAAGGGCATCGTCTAGACAGAATTAGCCTAGCGGAATCTTAGTGGGGCGCTGGGAAAGAAAGCGTGTGTGTTTGGGGGGTAAAATGTTTTCGAAATCCTCTGTAGCGGAACTCAATACAGCTGAATTCATGTAGCGAATGCTATCAGCTTCCCGCTTAGTTTTCATTTCCATCTTTCCTTGAGAGAATCAACGTTCATCATGTTGAGCTGGAAAATTCGTACATTTCTCCTGTTCCTTGTCTGCTTGGCTTCTGGCCTGACGCATTTTCGCAAATTACCACTTGACACTGTTACCGGCACTCTTAATTACAGAGCCTTACCAAATGCGCCTAATGGATATACATCGGAGAAAGTACAATGCCCGTCGCACGGTTCAAACGTGCGTATCACGGTGAACATTAGCGAGCACGAAATGCATTGGTTACAGAAGCGTCAGAACAAAGGGTTGAAGGGGATGCAGACCTTTCTCACGCGAATGAAAATCCGGACTTCAATGCTACCCAATATTTTGCAAAGACTCAGGACGCATCTCTGCCCAACATCAGGATCTCATTCTCAGGAGGCGGCTACCGAGCTCTGCTCAACGGAGCTGGAGCATTTGCTGCATTTGATGATCGAGCAAGAGAATCGACTGCACCAGGCCATCTAAGCGCATTGGTGCTATCAACTACGTATATTTCTGGCCTTAACGATGGCTCCTGGCTGGTCGGATCAATTTATACAAACAAATTTACTACGGTGAATGCACTGCTGAATTCCGATGCCAGTGGTGTTTGGGAATTTGATTAATCAGTCCTGAGCGGGCCTACAGGTGATGCGGGCTACTTCCGGCAACTCCAACAAACCGTAGATGGCAAAGAGGAGGCTGGATTTCCTGCTTCAATTACTGATTACCGGTACGAAACTCCTTATTCCCCACTCAAGATCCTTCACGTCTTTGCCAATTTTCCCTCCCGTATGTTTACTGAGCGTCTGTTGATCTGTCCCCTGACCGAGTTTGAGAGATGAATATTAACGACTTATTGGCTAGGGATCGCGGGCTGTCCTACCAAGTGGTGAATGCTAGCGAGGGCGGACCTGCCTATACGTGTTCATCTATCGCTTCAACAAAGCAATTTCTTGATGGAAACGTGCCAATGCCAATTATTAGTGGTCTTGAAAGAGCGCTCTCAGAGAAGAATATAGGTAGGAATGCTCGACCAATTATTTCTGCAGACATACTTCCTGTAGCATTTGCTAATTCAGCTTCTATTGAACATCGAACAGCATTAAACTCATCAGTTTGTGAGTTCAACCCATGGGAGTTGGGTACGTGGGACCCAACCACCTACGGCTTTATGCCTCTCGAATTTCTGGGGTCGAATTTCACGAATGGCAATCTATCAAAGAACAATTGCATATACAGGTTTGATAATGTCGGTTTCATTATGGGCACGTCTTCCTCCTTATTTAACCAAGCCCTGCTTCATATCAACAACACCGACATTCAACGTGCGCTGAAGAGTCTCACTACCTCACTTCTACAAAGTCTTAATGACTCGTCGAATGACGTTTCTTCGGTTTTAATAAATCGACCAATCGGAATGCTCAAGCAAAGGCTCTTATCCTCGTTGACGGGGGAGAGGATCTGCAGAATATCCCCTTTTACCCCCTCCTGCAAGCCAATCGCAAGGTCGACGTTATTTTCGCTATTGAAAGCTCGGCAGAGACGCCGACACGGTGGCCTAATGGGACAAGTATGGTGGCAACTTATCAGCGCAGTAGCAATTTTTCAAAAATTGCGAATGGGACGGCATTCCCCTCCGTTCCAGATCAAAACACCTTTGTCAACCTAGGCTTGGATGAGCAACCCAACTTTTTTGGCTGAGACCCATCTAATAGTACGGGCAAGCCTCCGGCTCCGTTGGTCATCTACATTCCAAATAACCCATATACCTACATGTTGAATATCTCGACGTTGGCACTTGAAATCAACGATACTGAACGGGATAAGCTGGTGCTGAATGGATACAACGTGGCTACCATGGGAAACTCGACGGAATGGGGCATTTGCATCGGTTGCGCGATCATTAGTCGCAGCTTATATCGAACTAATACGTCGATGCCAAGTGCGTGTTTGGATTGTTTCCACCAACATTGTTGGAAATGGCACGGTAGATGCGACAACCCCGAAGACTTATGAACCGCGTCAGAAAATAAAGTAAGCAAATCTGTTAGTCAAGATACGTGAAGTCATATTCAATCGCCAGTTCAGCTCACACTGCATTACTAGCGCAGGAGGTCTCCAATCTGCGCATGGCCAACGAGAGGATCGTTAAGAAACGCCAGCGATCAACTAGGCAGATACCCTGCGAAGAGGGTCTATCTATTGAAGAAGGCCTACGGCTCGTTGAGCAGCTAAACCAGCCGGTGGAAGCTGATAGGGTAGGATCGCATAAGCAGGGCGAATTGCCTAATCAGGCAATTTAACCGCCTACTAGGGCCTTACCTAGGTGTAGTGGATGTAGGGAGATTGGCCACAAGATCAATGTATGTAAAAATCGCTATATCTAGTTGAATTAATGGGTGTTGGTTGAATTAATCGATTTTGAAATTTACTAATGACTCATTAGTAATGAGGGTGGGTGAGCCGATCGGCTAGGAAATACGTTATTGGAGCTTAGCCATATTACTAGCTTAGATATATTAGCTAGAATTAGTTTAGATCTAAGCTTACTCGCTTGCTATCTATACTTAAGGTTTAGCCGAACGTAGCTAATCAAAGAATGTACAAACCTACTTTTTTTAAAATAATTCAATCACTGGATGGTTATTTTAGAAGATATAGCGGTAGATGAAGTATATGGAGTAGAAAATATATATTCTATAGAAGTACCGCAGCACTATCCCTAGCGAGATCTCTTTGTTTAATACTAATGCTGCTCTATTAAAAAAAAGCTAGCTAATTAGAAGTGTTTATAGTTGTATACGCTATCTAATCTCTATCTGATATTCAAAACTAGTGGGTATGTAATATAAGAGGGTGCAGAAATAGCAGTTTGAAATATAGGTGAAATATTTTTTATCTAATTTGAAAGTCGGGGGGCGTGGTCTGACCGAAAATCGATGGGACTACAAGGTCCTATGGGATTTCCCATGGAAGTATAGGAGTTTCCCACGGGATTAGCTAATCGGAAGAGTGCCTACTATGGGTCTCCTTATTAACTATGATAGATTAACTGTATCTTTTTGTTACGGTCAAGCGAAAAGATTATGAATCAATTCGGTACTGTTTAAACGAGGCAACTAAATCTAGAGAAAGAAGAAGAGAAGGAAGATTCTAATCCACCCAAAGGGATTGCCTTTATATGGCCCTCCCTTTTCGGCAACTCCCATGCAAACACTTCTCGCCAGTTCGTTCGCAAGACTTTCCGCATCTACGAATCGTAACATTGCCCCCTTGTTTAAAAGGACCTGGCCCTCCAGGTCACGTGCATTCGGGTCTTCCTTTCTGAATCGACCAATCAGATCGCTTTGTTGTCATCTGGGTGATCTGGCTCAAAGCGATCGTTTAATGCAGCTTCAATCCATGCAGTCAATCGTACTGGCGGACCTGGCAGATCTGGGTACTTTCGGTGAAACTCCATCAGCTTTTCAGGCGCATTCTTGTAATCGCGCGCGTAGTACCAATTGTCATCGTCGTTGCCGATCCACTTCGCCTTGTACTGAAGCTTTCGGTAGTGTAGGCGCACTGCCACGATCTCATCGACTTCCCATTCAGGCTCGTCGTCAACGACTTCCGGGGGTTTCGGGTCTTGTAGTTGCCCAGGCAACGGTTCTGTTCGTGCCGCTAATCGGAGTTTCTCTGCCGAAAAAACTGGGTGCACACGAATCGATTCTGGGAGGTCTAGCTTGTACGCATTACCAACCTTCTCCACGATCATGTAAGGTCCACTTGCTTGGTCTGCAAGTTTCCTACCTGGTCGGTCTAGTTTCCAGTGCCTTGTCGTCACAAATACTCGGTCACCAACACCGAAATCCTCTGCCCTACGGTGCCGATTCGCCTGTTGACGCTGACGTTCCTGCGCATGTGTAGCTTTTCTCTGCGTATCTTCCCATATTTCCTGCATCCTGTTGGTGTAATCGCTTGCTTCTTCGTTCTGCGACTCGTTCCTTTGTCGAGGTACAATTTGACTAAGCCAGTCCAAGGCTTCCGCCGGTTTCCAATCAAAGGACACCCGGGGTTCATACCCTCGTTCAACAAAGAAGGGTGAGACTCCCGTCGTTTCCTGGGGTAAAGCTGCGAAAGCGAAGTCTATCATTGCAAGATAGTCTGACCAGTCGTCTTGGTAGTAACTCACGAAAGGTCGTAGTCGCTGTGCCATATACTGATTCACAATCTCGCTTTGACCGTCCGTCTGGGGGTGATGAGAAGTTGATAGTTTTCTTTCAATTCCGAGGATTCGACAGAACTCCTTCCAGAATCCTGATACAAACTGAGGCCCTCGGTCGGAAACAATCGACTCTGGCAATCCTACCCATCGATAGACATGGTCCACGAATAACCGGGCTGTTTCCTTTGCATCAACATCTTCGTGACAAGGTATCGAAATTGGCCGTTTGCTCAGTCTGTCCACAAAAACGCAGACGGTATCATATCCTCTGCGGTCTTTCGGGAACGAGCGGAAATCCATCGTGAGATGTTGCCACGGTCTTCCAGGGATCGGTAGGGGTTGTAGTAATCCTGGGGTTCGGTCTCTCCATGCCTTCGTCCGCTTACAGATTTGGCAGTTATCCACATATCGTTTCACGTCGTTAATCATCTCTGGCCAGTGGTATCTGGCTGTAAGCATACGCTTCGTCTTTTCGATTCCGGGATGAGCGATTGACGGTTGTCGGTGGATTTCATCTAGTAATCGTGCGCGTAGGTCGCCTTCGTCGGGAACTACAAGCTTCCCTTCATACAGCAGTAGTCCTTCTTCTATCGTCCATTTCTGATCAGAATGCACTAAGTCACGATATTCGAGAAGACTCTCGCTTGTGCGGTTCGCTGATATCACCCTTTCGACCACCGGGGATAACACCGTTCTTTTCAAAATCTCGGTGTGTCTCGGAGTCGCTGGACTAGCTCCGTTAGGAGCAAATGATCCCGTAAGTCCGCAGGAGACGGGGGTGAGCTCCACGGGCAGTGGATCATCTGGATGGGTACCCTGCTCTAGTGCTTCTCGGGGTAACAGGATCTGTTCGGCTCGCTGGCCGGTCGGTCGGTCCTTTCGAGACAGTGCGTCGGCCACCACATTGCCCTTCCCTGGGCGGTAGCGGATTTGGAAGTGAAACCGTGAGAGGGACTCTCCCCAGCGTACTTGTCTTGCGTTCAGCATTCGAGTAGTCATAAAATACTGGAGGGATTGGTGATCAGTCCAGATATTAAATCGATCTGTACGTTGTAAGCCCTCCAGTTCGGCTCGCCACTCTTCCAGTGCGCGGATAATCGCCAGCATCTCCTTATCGTGGGTGTAGTAGCTCTGCTCCGTAGGATTCATGGTTTTTGAGAAATACGCCACTGGATGCCAACCGTCGTTCGCTCCCTTCTGCGAAAGAACAGCGCCTAAACAACCATCCGAGGCGTCGGTTTCGATCTGCGTGAGTGCGTAAGGGTCATAGTGTGCCAGTACGGGCGTGGTCGTCAGCATGTGCTTTAGCTTCTGAAAGGCTGCTTGGCACGCGTCGTCCCATTTAAACTGCACTTCCTTCCTGGTTAATCGGTGTAAAGGCCTGGAAATCTTACTGTAGTCCTTGATGAATCGACGGTAGAAGTTGCACATTCCTAAGAACGATTGCACGCCTCTGACTGTACTCGGCGACTGCCATGCGTCGATCACTTCAATCTTGGCAGGGTCCACGCGAATGCCGCTCGTTCCGATAATAAAGCCTAAGAACTTCGTCTCCATAGTGTGGAACTCACACTTCTGGATAGCTACCTGTAGGCCTGCAGCTCGCAATCTGGTTAGGACCTTTCTAACGTGCTCAACGTGCTGCTGCTCGTCACCCTCTGTGTAGATCAAGATATCATCGATAAACGCGGTGCAGAAGTCGTCCAGATAATCTCCGAGGGCATGGTTTATGTATCGTTGGAAGGTCGCGGGTCCATTCGTCAATCCGAAAGGCATCACTTTGTATTTATACGAACCATATCGAGTGCGGAAGGTCGTCAAATCTTCGGATTCCGGGTGCATCCGAATTCTGTGGAAACCCTGCTGGATATCCAACTTGGTAAACCGCTTTGCCCTCCCTACTCTTTGTAGTAGTTCGTTAATCAAAGGGATAGGGTAACGGTCTTTCCTAGTCAGTTCGTTTAACTTCCGGTAGTCCACGCAGAATCGGAGGCCTCCACCTGGTTTCATGGCCATTAGGATTGGTGAGGCGTACGGTGCTGTGGAGGGTACTATAAACCCTTTCGCGAGGTTTTGCGTGATGTAATCCTTAGCAAAGCGTAGTTCTTCTTCACTCATTTTGTACAAGGGACAGTAATTCAAGTAGACAGATCCGTCGAGTTCAATCCTGTGATCGGGACTACCTCTCAGTGGTGGCAAAGTATTTGAATCGATCTTAGAAAAGACATCGATAAACTGATGATAGGCAGTTGGGACACGCGCACGAATCTCCTCAGCTTCTAGTGCATGTTCTGGGCTCTGCTTCTCTTCGAGAATTCGATCAATCTGGGCTATCGAGGTTACGAACGTCTCTGTTCCTTCACGTTGCATATGACGGTGGAAGCCGACTCCTCCGATCGCTGCAATCTCGATACCTTTCCGGGGAAGATCGTCGACCTCAAGTCTCTTCTTCTGGGAAATAACTAACTCGTCTCGGAGAGATCGGTTCATCTTGCCCACTGAGTCTTCTTGGTGGGAGGCTCCATAGGTTGTTCGAATCGTTCTTCGGGATTCCTTCACGATCTGGTCTTCTATTAACTGGTCTCTCCGGTCTGCGTCCTTCTGGTGGAGATCGTTGACTAGTGGTCGCTTCAGGATCTGCCTCGGGATAGGTTTCACCATGCCAGTTTTTACCTGGTCTTGTAGCGAGGGCTGGTCTGGCCACAAAAGCCTTCGGTTCTTGCAATCAGGAAGTATCCCATAGGTTTCGAACCATATCCTTCCGAGAATCAGGTCATGGTTTCCAAGATCCGTCACCAACATAGTCTGACGTTGTTGTACGCGCTCATCAATCATCAACGAGAGTTTCACTGCGTGGGTAATCGGTTCTCGTAAGGATCCGTCAAACCCAGTGATCGGACACTCTCGGGGGAGTCTTCTGGTCCGTAGGCCTAGGCCATTAATCATTGTTTTCACAAGGTCGTAGTCGATAAAGATATACCCATCTGCTCCGGTATCTGCAAGGCAAGAAACGCTCACTGTTCGTCCATTGATAGCTACTCTAGCTTGAAAGGTTAAACTATCTTCTGCAGAGGACAACAGTTTCCGTAAATCCACCTTTGACACCATCGAACCTGGGATGGAGACTTGCCCCAGGTTTACTCTTTTCCCGAATCGCTATCGTTCTCTTCCGCGGCTTTCAGGTCGTCCGTCTTCTTCAAATTCGAATCCTTTCGCTTCGGTTCGGCGGCGGCGGCAGCACTTGTGGGGGTGGACTTCTTGGTGGGGCAGTTTCGAGAGATATGGCCCTGTTCGCGGCACACAAAGCAACGTCCTTCCTTTAGGAGGGTAGCCTTCTCCTTGTCATCAGGGCGGTTTGAGGGTTTCGAGTTCTGTGGGTCGCTTGGAGTACGATTCGAAGGGTTCGTACGGTTCGGGTTACGGTTACTTGCACGATTGGCGATCTGCTGCGAAATTAAACGGGCAGCAATCTGACACTTCTGCACGAACTCTTCAAGGGTAACAGAGCCTTGACCTGCATCAATCATCACCTGGTTCTGGAGGAGGGCAGGAAGCTTCCGGTACAGATCACGCTTTCGAAGATCCACAGGCTGTTCGGCCTCCTCCGCAAGGTAGGTAAATTCGGCCAGGAAATCACCGAAATCCTGCTTAGGCTCCATCTTTAGGGCGAGGTAATCGTCACGGGCAACTTGCTGATGGTTCGGGTCGTGGAAGACACTCTGTAGGTGGTCGAAAACGTCCTGCGCAGTTCGGTACGCGGCGGTAGCGTCTTCTTGCATTCGGGGGTTGATGTGTCGGAGTGCCTTTCCTTCGCAGCGACTACTCACGTACGCGAGCTGGTGGGCAGAAGTTGGATAGTGGTCCTCGTTCAATAGAAGCTTACGCTTCATCTCGGTCTTCCAATCCTTGAACTTCACATCCTTTCCGTCGTTGAACATGGGAGGGTCAGGCATCTTGGTTGACTTCCTGTTACCAGCAGTAGAAGGGGTCACCGAGGCTTCTCGCAACACACGGTTATCGTCGGTTCGCATCATATTCATCACGGTCAACAGGCTATCACGCTCCTTCCGGAGGGTTTCAGTTTCAGTTCGCATTCGGGCGTACTCCTCCTCCACCTGCTGGTCACGGGCAACGGAATCCTCTCGTTCGGTCATTGAGACAATCTGCTCACGGAGGTCGACGATCTCTTCTTGGTGGTCGGCGGTCAGGGCAGCAATCTGGCCTTTCAGGTCTTCGATATCCTTCATGCGGTTGCACAAGACCTTCCATGCGGTCTCGGGGTCTTTCTGGATCCAACGGATCAGCTCGTCGGTATCGGTCACCTCGATCTTCTCAGCGTCGGGCTGCTCATCGAGGGTCAGGGATCTTCTGCCACCACGGCGGGGGCGTTCGGTCACGTTGCTAGCCATCTTGGTGCAACGGTTCTTCGTAGGTTCGTTCGGTTGAGTGGTGTAGTCACTAGGTAGCTAGAGAGCACGTATGTACGCGTCTCTTCGCTCAGCCAGTGACTAGAAGGAAAGATAAAGGGTGAGATTTAGTTGTATGTTACGGTCAAGCGAAAAGATTATGAATCAATTCGGTACTGTTTAAACGAGGCAACTAAATCTAGAGAAAGAAGAAGAGAAGGAAGATTCTAATCCACCCAAAGGGATTGCCTTTATATGGCCCTCCCTTTTCGGCAACTCCCATGCAAACACTTCTCGCCAGTTCGTTCGCAAGACTTTCCGCATCTACGAATCGTAACACTTTTAGCTGAATTCACCCTGGTTATTATTGAATTCCTCCGGTCGTAACTACTAATTCGCCATAAGGTAAGTCCTTTCTCTTTCGATTCCCCTTGTTACAGCCAGGCGATAGAACAGGGTTCAGATCGGTGCATTCAACGAAGACAACTAAACCTAGAGAGGAGAGAAGAAGAAGATCCTCTATCTGTGGGAGATCGCGCCCTTTTGTACCTGCCCGGAAACTCCCATGTGGAAAGTTCCATCAAACTCGCATTGACCAAACTCGCATTGACCAGTTCACTCAGTCGCTCAATCGTCACACCCCTAGCTATATACTCTACTCTTCTTTAACTATGTCTTAATTTAGCTAATTTTCTGACGCTAGGCCTTCCTCTCTCTATTAGAGTAATCCTATAGAGCCCCTTACCGATATCGAATTAGATAATAGCTCCTTTATAGTAGGGAGCTTATCTTATTAACGAACTTAATATCCTACGCTATCCTCTGAGTTTACACCTCCTCTTGCTCTTCCTTCTATCCTTGAGCGGTTTGGTTCTGATCGGAAGAAGTCCTAGGTAAAATATACCGAAATGAATAAAAATGACTTTGTGATCTAGTGGTTATAGACTAAGGCTGCGATAACGATAGGATCACGTTAAAAGAAGATACGAGGGGATATAAAGTACTCCGCTAAGATCTAGTAGCATTTTGACTAAGTGGCTAACTATATCACCGGCGAGGTAATAGTTATGTGCCGAAGATGTGGAAAAACTATTCTACACCTAGGGCGAACTACGAACGGGACTAATTCTATGAATCGCTACTTTATAGCTAGAATATGTATTTAAGCTGTAAATAATATAGCAAGGCAGAAGACACTACACTAATTAATTGAATATATGGTAATATAAATATTCCACTAGTTAACTCCAGTAAACTAATAATCTACTCTTCTAATCTAGGCCGAAAACACATCACGTTCGAAGCTATCTTTTAGTGTGGAGTAATAGAAACGATGTTAGGTTAGATTTATCACTAAATTAAACCTTCCTTTTTAAATCCTTATATATAAAGGCCTTGCCGACCTTATATTAATAGCTCGGCTAGCTACGTTAAACCCTACACTCCTTATCCCTTAAACTGCTCGACGTCGTCTTCGAAAGATCGTGTAAGAAGATTAGTATCGTATCCTATCAGACCTCCCACTAAATACGAAGCTTTTAATTGCTCTTAATTATTAGATATCTCCCTTTTAATAGGCCTTTATAGTAATTACTGGTTACTTCCTCGACTAAAACTAGAAGTACCGGGAGATCCTTCTTGGCTTTGAACCCTTATATGGAAAGCACTCCGGTGTTAATCTAAGCTAGGTTCTATTCGACTGTCTATAAGAGTATTAGATTATAGATCGGGTGCTTACTATTACGACTGATAACGTATCGAATAACGATACTCTAGTTAGTAGTATATAGACGTTAATATAAGCCCTAGATCTTCTAAACTATATACTAATTATCCGAATTCCTTACTTAGCGTATATTATCTAACTTAGCCTAAAGGATCTCCTCACGATGATAAAGCTTAACCCAAAGAACGAGAGCATAGATCGGTAGTAGTTAGCTAAATAGGATACGTCCCTAAAATACCTTCGAAAGCGAGGTATTATCTATACTCTTACAAAGTAAGTCTTACCTTATATCTATTAGTTGATCTTATCTTATAGAGATCTATCTACTTATTAATATTAGGTCCGTGGCCTAGCTATAGGTATTAACGCTAGTTCTTAGCGCCGAGAAGCGTTTTTGAACCTTTAAAGTAAAGAACTAAAGCTTCTCCCTATCTAGGATGTTAAAACGCGGTAGAATTCAATATTCCTTATGCTTTAGCGCGCTAAGCGGCTCTTAAAGGCGTATAATAAGTACTATAGTGAGTATAACTATCCTTAGTTTAAACAAAACACGGAAGAGTGGCGGTAAGTTAACTACCTTCTTTGTATCACCTAACCCTTTTATTAGTGGACCACGGCTATCTCTAAGACTAAAGATATTATAATCTATTAGATCTTTAGAATCTATAATAAGCTATTTAACTATTTTGACTTCTCCATTAGCTAACTAAAGTAGAAACGGGTTCCTTAGAAGGTAACTATGCGTGGGGCGCTCGAAGTAGTCCGTTAAAAGCTCTCTAACTATTATAGCTAGACTAACGCTTATAGTAATCTCTATATAATTAGCACTATCCTTACGCCGCGGTATAAGCTATAATTCTTGTCGAAGCGTGAATAGTCCGATAATAACTACTAATAGCGTAAGACCTACCGAGGCTATATAGAAAAATACCTCGAGCCCTACTAATAGCGCTAAAAGGAGACAGAGTAGTTATAGTTTAGCCGACCTTCTACCTAACAGAAGGATAATATTAAACTACTCTTAGATAATGATAATCCTTCTGAGCCCTCTTAGTCCTAAGAGAAACAAACTAGCCTTGTATTTAACGATAAGCTTATATATTATCTTAATAGTGGTATATTTCTTCTATTCGAATATCCGCTGATTTTTTATTCTAACGTTTCTTTAATAGGTATATTGAACAAGAATCCCTATAACTTCTGGCGGGAGTATAAGTATTAATATCCTACACTCGTAAGCATAGCACGCGATATATTTACTATCCCTGCTAGCGGGGCTCTGCTCGCGACGTGTGCTATTATCGACGGGGTCGTCTTAGCGAGACCGCTATATAAGACCTTATGATGTATCGCTATATCTCCGAATTTGATCTTGATATAACAGATCTTATAGGTGAATCCGATAAGGAGGAAGAGCCTACCGCCGAAGAGAGACAGTAAGTAGCGCTATAAAGAGAGGTAAAACTAGGCTAGTTTACCCCGGTTCCAATCAGTGATAATAAAGAGGATGAGGATGAAGACGAAGATAAAGACGAAGATGAAGACGAAGATAAAGATGAAGCTGAAGGTGAAGATGAGAGTGAAGATAAGATATATAAGGTAAACTCCGTTCCTTTCGACGCCTATATACCATCCGCTATATCCTAACGTAGCTAGCGAGCTCTGGGAAAGAGACGAAAGAGTGTGGATTCCTATGGAGAAGAAGATAAGACTGAACCTTAACTACCCCCTTTACCACAGGATAAGGAGGGCTACGGTCAAATGCGGACGTCTGGAAGGGCAAGGAAACGTCCAAGAAATTTAGATGACTACGACTAGACTGCGGCACGGTTTTGGTTGCGGTCTTAGGTTGAAAACCCAAACCAAAAACCTGCGGTTGCGGTTAGCAAGGTAAAAACCGTAACCAAAACTCTTTGGTTTTAGTTAACACTTTGCCAACCAAAACCAAACCCGCAAATTTACGGTTAACCAAAACCATAGTGCGGTTAACTAACGGTTAACCGTAAATGCATAATTTTCGAAAATCCTCCCTATTTTAGTAGTCTCGTGATCTTTATGTAGCTATCTAATAATACATTTTTACACTATATTTTGGTTCCTATAGGCAGATTATATTAATACTACTAATTACCTTTAGAAATATTTTGAAATCGAATTATATTTAAGTCTAATTAGGGTATATTAAATAAGTATTAGTATAGGTTTATCTAGAAGGGTGAGTGGGTAGTGGTAAATGTGTGGTTATAGCTACTTTTGACACTTAGTCGGCTTTGCTGCGGAAAAATATATTGAACACTTAAAGGGAGTTATTCTATTTCTAAGTAAACTAATATTTAAATCCTCGATTTCTTCTAATTTACCTCTAATGATAATTTATCCTAAATATAATATAGAGTTAGCTAAAATCAAAGGTTTTAATGGCTTTTTATTAAATAAAATCCTATAAAAAATAGAAGTAAAATATAAGTTTTAATGATTAGTTAAAATAGTATATAGTTAGTTTACGGTTAGTTTGTGGTCTTTGCGGTTACCTTACGGTTATCTAATAGTTAACTAAGAAATAACCGTACTAGTAGATAGTGGGAACTAATTAGCTAATAGGATTAACTAGTAAACTATAATTACTTTTAATATCTATTAATTCCCCCGGTCGTAACTTATTCCCTCTAATCCTAAAGCGAATCCCTAGTAAGTTTCCTTTTCCCCCTAGTAGACCCCTACTACTTCGGCCTTTCTTTATAATAGCTTATTCCTAAGTATCTGGTTTTACCGATTAGTTTTCTAAGGCTAACTTTCTATAGTTAGACGATCTACCTACCCCTAGTAATACCTACCGAATAGCTACCTCGGTTACCTTATCTAATCCTTACTAGTCTTCCTAATAGCTAGCACTATCCTTATTAAAACGCGTTAGCCCTCGGTTCTACTAGATCTAGATACTATACGATATAAATCCTAAGATAGAGTAATCCCGCTTATAATTTACGGAATAGTAGCTATAGACCGAGTTTAGAGTAAAGGAGGATACTAGAGCTTCGATCGGCTAGGATAATAAGAAAAGATCGAGTTTTTAGGATGAATTTAACTAAGTTACACACGAGAAGACTAGCGAGCTAAAGATTATATATAAGCGCTACTATACTACCCTTACTTATCCCTAGTTACGCCGCGGGGGAATAAGCCCGATGAATACGTATCTTAAAAGTACTACTTATAAGCCTAGGCTATAAAGAAGAGGGATTAATTAGCTATTACTCTAATCGGTTAATTTAAACGTTATCTTATTCTTTTACTACTATTTACTAACTCTCCTCTTATTTAGCCTTAGACTCGATCGCTATAGTCCTTCTCTGAAGATCTTCTTATCTATTATCTTCTCTAGCTTATCACTATTACCCGACTCCTATTCCGTATACTTAAGCGTCCTGAGTTCTAATAACTTTATGATATTATTTAACTAGCTCCTTCTAAGATTAAACTACCCTCTACTCGGTCTATTCGTCGTCGGCTAGACCTAGAGATTTAATAAGGATAATAGAGTATACTCGATAAGTTATTGTCAACATATAGATATTGTGGGGTCACATGATGAAGGACCCACTCATATAACCCCTCTCTATATATAGATCTTATCAACATATAGATGTTGTGGGGTCACATAACGAAGGACCCACTCATATAACCCCTCTCTACATATAGATCTTCTTCTATAAAGATCTAACAGATTGATCCTCAACGATCTCGCATATGATTACCTACCTAAGCAAGAGACTCTCAACACTCTGATTCTGTTGATTTATCATATGATCCTTTGCTATGTTTCTTATAATATAAATACTACTATGTTTCCTAGTTAAATTGAATCAAGTTTATCATCCTTTATGATCTCTCTTCTAGATCAGTGGTACTCTTCCATAATCGTGGTACTTCTCCTTCATAGAAGTGCGCACGACCGATAGACTCATAACCGTGTATTCAGACACTGTATTAAGTATTTACCAATCCTTATGCACACTATCGTCTTGTGTGTATAACCACGACTTTATGGTCACCGCCTAGAGTCCGACAGTTATGAGCCCGACGCCTCTACTCTAACCACTTAACCAATTCAATTCAATCTTCCTTTACTTTACTCTCACTATCGCTTCACTTCCCACACAGAAGCGATGGATTCAACCACGCAACAAGCCACCTAGCTTCACTACCCACTAAAATCTCACGCACACTAGGTTCCATGGATCACTACGGTCAAAGACCACGCACTAGCTAATAATATATAGAAATATGCCGATCCGGACCAATCCGCACCGATTACCCCGCCTCAGGAACCAGTTAAACCACAGATATCTAATGTGATCAGAAACCCTACCAACACATACACATCTAATCTTCCTGAACAGCCACTCAGGCTCATCGACCTTACGTCTAACCAATTAGCTATCTATAAGATACTACTAAGTAAATACGAATCGTCAAGATCAGACTACTTTCGCTACCTACGATCCATTGAATCTCTCAAGCAAGGTATTCGATCCTCTCTCACACCAGAAGGACGTCAAATCGTCAATAGCCTATCAGCACACGAAGCTATAGTGAAACTACGTGCTACCTTTGCCCTATCCGACCAATCGAAGAATCGTCAAATCCTACGCGATTAGGATAAGCTAAAACGACAAGCTCCACCAACCAAATTGTCTCAACTACCTACATAGGGTCAGAAATGGCTAATTAGCCAATCGGAAGGCGAGAAAGCAGCAATTACCTACTTCCAAGACCATCTATCTCCAGTATACGATTTCCTAGAGACAATTCAACCTAGCGACCAAGGCTTCTACACTTTCTGGTACAATACGATCCTACAGGGTCTAAAGAAACCTACCCTAACCGAACTGGTCAATCAATTCGTCGATCAATACCGACCGCCTACTACCATAACCAGCAGTGGTAGAAGACGACCTATCGCACATACGACCTACCAAGGACGTCAACCTGATGAATCAGACGAAGAAGGACCTACACAATCAACCAGAGGAAGGAAGTGCCCTTGTGGGGGTATGCCTAACTCTGGTAACCACGATTTTGAGACGTGTCGCTATATGAATCCTAAGGCAAGACCTAGGGGGTGGCAACCTGACCCAGAGGTCCAAGAGCGATTTGAAAAGCGATGCGATGAATCTAGAGGATTCAAGATAGCCTACCAACGTGCAATTCGACGTTACCAACCGGCTAATTCAACCAATTCGACCAATTCGACCAATTCGACTAATTCGACCAATTCGGCCAATTCAACTGCTAGAGACGCTTTCTCTACCTATATACCAAAACAACAGGTCGAGACTCTCTTTCGAGAGGAAGATGGTGTTGCGATAAGCACAATCAGGATTCCTACCAAGAAGAACGACACCTGGTGCTATGATACCGGAGCATCAATTCATGTCACGAATAATAGGGACCTACTGTCAAACTATAGGCCCGTTATGTCCTCTGTCATGGTTGGAAACACCGAAACCACTATCCTTGGTTATGGTGAACTGTCCGTTAAACCATCAGAATCTCTTGATGGAACCACTTTCCCTTTGAAACAAGTTGCCTATTGTCCTGGATTCCACATCAACCTAATCTCTGCAGAGAGAGCTACTAGCGTAGGTATCTATCTGAATGGTAAGGATTGCCTACTAGAAGAGAAGGACGGAAGACCTATCTACAAGCTTAACGCGAAATCAGGCATCTACCTAATTCGATAGGACAATTCAACCACTGACCGACCTACTACTAACCACGCTCATATTTCATCTACCTCTCACTTATCTCTTACTTCTGTCTCACACGATCAAGTTGCACCTATCACTAAGCAATTTAGCAAGGTTGCCCTATCTTCACACACCAAGAAGCACCTAGATAGGACAATCGACCTATGGCATAGACGACTAGGACACGTTAGCAAGGACGTCCTATCTCATCTACCAGAGCACTCATCAGGCATCACCATCAAAGATATATCTTTACCTATCAACCACTGCGAGACATGTAAACTGGCTAATTCGTATCGTCAAATCTCTCGACGACCTATGCAGTACAATCGCCCTTTCGAATCTCTGTATTGGGATCTTATACACTTCGAACCATCCCTAGGCAGAACGACCTACCTATCTCACTCTGTGGACCCTATCACTAAATACCAACTAGCAGAAGATCTAACTACCAAGACCGATTCGACCCAATCTCTCTACGACCAGATCGATTTCGTACAACACCAATTCAACCTACGCGTCCTCACTATCCATTCAGATGACGAGAGATCTCTATCTGAATTCTTCGATCAAGAAGCACAATCACGTGGTATCTATCTAGAAACCACACCGCCCTACCAACCTGACCAAAACGGCTACGCTGAGCGTTATGGCGCATTGATTTCAAAGATGGCTAGGCAGATGACTATCGATTCAAACCTACCAAGCTATCTCTGGCATGAAGCAGCTAGAACTGCCGTCTATATTCAAAACCGCCTACCTCACCGCACACTAGATTAGCAATCCCCACACGAAGCGCTTACTACCTACCTCGGTGAAAACGCACCACATTGGCTACAGGCAAAGCCAGATCTCTCACATATTCGAATCTTTGGATGTAAAGCTTATGTACGCATTACTAAGCTACCTAGACTAGCTAAGCTAGCACCACGTGCTGCTATTGGCTATCTAGTAGGTTATGAAGCCTATAAT